ATTTTGACTTCGAAATGTGCTTCGCGCCACAACGGCGTGCACTTTTTCGACATCTCAACTTCCAAAAGTGGTCCGACAATGGTGTGTTTTGTACATTTTGACTTCGAAATGTGATTCGCGCCACAACGGCGTGCACTTTTTCGACATCTCAACTTCCAAAAACGGTCCGACAATGGTGTGTTTTGTACATTTTGACTTCGACATGTGCTTCGCGCCACAACGGCGAGCATCGGCGAGCAATTTTTCATCTCTCATCTGGCCAGCTGGCTCCGCACCCGCCGCTTTAGCGAGCCTACTTTTCGACCCTCCGGAGCCACAAATCATTAGAAAAACACAGTGTTTTGCGACTTTCCTACCTTTTCGCGCACCTGGATCTTCTTTCTTCTGCTCTTCTCTTCTACTCTTCTCTCTGCCCCTTTCCATCTCTGCTTTTCATCTGTCCATATTGTCGGAAGTTTGACTTCTAAATTTTTTTCGATAAATATGTATTTAGATCTTTATATAGCCTTCAAGGCTGTCATGCTCATGTTTATAGCAATTGATATGTTGTGATGCTATGAAAAAAAACAAGCCATGGTTTCAATGGGTTTGTGCATGAAGAAATTGCAAAATGTCAGGTCCTTGCTTGACATTGATATTTGTCAAGAAACTTACCTGGTTTCTATTTTTCAAACATGTTTTGTTCCAAAAAAACGTACAAAATCATGGAAAATGCCTCATGATCATATAAAAATTAATCCCTAGTTATTTACTTAGCTAGGTTGAACTAAATCCTGGCTAAATCCAGGTCCACATAGCAAAGAGGCAGCTGAGTGGTTAGGTAACTACGCAAAAAAACTATTTTATCTGCCCGCCTAAGTCTTCGTAAAGACATTAAGGTCCTGCTTCAAGTCGTTCGATTTTTGGGGACAGTTTTTGCGTTTTTGTTTGGTTTCGGCTCGTTCGGTTTGAATCACTGCCTGCTTGACAACATTCTCAATTTGACATAGAAACGTTGGTGGACTGCTGCCTGCAAATTGGCAGGTAAAAAATATTGATATAGATGGGGAACACCTTGAGCATCGCAGTCTGGTTGCCACACTTTTTTGAATACCCGCGTTTTCGTTCTTTACGAAGCTTTGGGCGCAAAACTGCGGATACACGGCCCGATAATCGGAACCAAAATCCAAATCAGAACCTGCACAAGCACTGACAAATTGCAACTTGGAATTGAAAAAATGAAACCGATGCGCCGCTTCACACCCATGGAGTTGCAGAACGCATTGGCAATCCGAAGGCCAAAAGGTCCAGCCGTGTCCAACCATAGATTGCGGCGGTATACTTTTTTCCCACTTGTGTGTTGAAATCTTCGCTCACAATGTATCACGCGTTATCTTTCTTTCCTCCGTCCTGCAGGCATTGAAATAAATCAAAAAAACATGCTAAACTTGCACAGGGCAGCCCGCATGTGGCGCAAACGCCGCAGCCAATCGAGTTGTACCTACCTTTGTCCACTCAAAGATCCGTGCGTGTCAAACGGTTGGAAACATTTTTGGTTCGAACAGAGGACGAAACATGTTATTGATGAATCAAAACTGTCGCGCCGGCTGCCATTGTCGGTTCGTTTGATGCCAGCAATACATGCCCCCCCACGAATTTCACAATTTGTTGGGCCGATCCTTGTCTTGGAAAATGGAACGTAATGGAACTACATCCCATTGGCAGATTGGAATTAATCAAGTTACAACATGTAAAATTGTGCATGCCTCCCAATCGCGCATTTTTAGCAAGAACGCGCAAAAGAGAGTGGCAAACCTTTGTGGGAATTTTGTTTCTTGAAACGTCCTCAATTTCAAACCTGGTGAAACGCATTCACCCGGACGGAAGTGTCCCGAATGAGATAGGACGGTGCCCTTATCCTTCCTTTTGCCCGTGCCCTTGCCCTGTTTGGTCATCGCAGCCCTAGCTTTGTAGCTCGGCAAATGATTGAAACATACGTACAAAAAATCATCCAGGCATCCCATTCATTCACCAGTTCAACCTTAAATTCGCTGTTGGAAGAGGGAATTTGCACGACAGTCTTGCCAGCGATTGTCGTACTGGTGTAGCGTTCAACGATGTTAGATGTCGATCTCAATTTTACAAAGCTCCAGTCACCTAGCTGCCTGTGGAAACCTTAGCTAAAACAGTTTCCTCCAACGAGTTGGAATGGGAAGGTCCTGGGCGGCCCAAACTTGAACCATAGTCTTAGGCATCTCTCCTTAGTATGAACGATTATGAACGGGTTGTTTTCCGCTTAAGAGAATGAGTTTGGGATTGAATTTCAGCAATTTTCTGTGCAAAATCCAATAGTGGAGTAGTGTTTACAGCATCTGCGCCCATCACTTGTTCTAAAAGCGTCAAACGCACATCTTGGTCATGTACTGCAGTTTCAAATTGTACGTACCATACGCTCATCAAGTGTAGCACCCGTATTTGTCAACTTGGTTTTGGCTGGCCCAGTTTCGAGTTCTTGTCCCACAATGGCGGCACAAAACCCATCAACATCTTTATCATTAAGGCTTAAGGTTCGAAAATGGTTCGAAGATGGTTTCAAGTTTAAGGATGGTTCCCCTGATGCCAGGTTTGAATGAAGCCGTAAGTTAGTACGCTCTAAAATTCCGCCCGCGCCAAAGGCGCCGAGGTGTGGTAGTTTAGCAGCGAAGGATACTTCGACGAACAGATCTGATCAACTGTTGCAGCGTCAGCCAGCGCTCGGGGGCCGGACTGTAACAATTTGATGTAATTTGATGTAATTTGCACGTTTTGGGACCAAGATTGGCCAACAAGACACGCTGAAAACTTACGTTTTGACCGCTATTTCCACCGTATTTTTCGCTTTGAAGGTGGTTCACGGAGGCGATGTTCCCCACATTGGGCCTGCCTTGGGCCCAACTTCGGCGCCAGATGCCCCCAAGCATGTTAAGCTTGCCCCCAGAGGTGCCCAAGTTGCGCCATGTTGGCCCTAGTTGGGCTCAAGTTGGGCCCAAGTTGGAGCCAGTTGACCCGAGTTTAAGTGAGGCCCAAGTTTGCTCGTGTGCCAAGGACCGCCAAGTTTGACCCAGTCGGCTTTTTGTTGGGCCAAGTGGGCCTGCTTCTTTCCTCTTTGTCCTATTCCCTGGGTGCGGGCGGCTCTCGTCCTGAAGCGATTCGAACAATTAATGGCAAAATCGATCCAATTCAATTTAAACGTATTGCCAACAATCGGGTTTTGAAGCTTACTTGCCGGCCTGAATGCCCCTAACATTTCAACAAACAACTAAAAAAACCGTAAGTCCCGTAAGTCAAAAACTGTTTCACAAGAGCGTTCAACGAGTGCAAACTACAAGAGTGGCCTATAGAAGAATTTAAAACAGTTTCTGACGGGTGTCTAATATGGTTATATTGAATTAAGATGAATTAAGCATTGAATGATCACTTAGACAAGAGCCAGCATGAGCCAACCACGTTCGTCGTATTTGATCAGATGCTGTAGGCCCTGAAAAAAAACACCCTGATCATCTCTGATCAAGGTTCGACTCAAACTGTCGCATGCGCCTCTCCGTTCATCTGGGGTCGCTTTGGTTTATGATGTCTGCCAGCAGATCTTTCTGGGACTGAATTAGCCAACCCCTTGTTTAATGAGAACGTGACGGATACCGCGAATAGCGAGCGGGATTCAGCAGACTGAAACTGCAGCCTCAACTTCTGAAAACAACCCTTTCAATTTCGGCTTGCAGTGCCCTTTTTGCGATCTTATTTCAACGGAAAGAGTGAGGCTATGTGTGGCATTTGTGTGGCTATATTCACGTTGTTTTTTGAGTTCGTTCAGGTCGCGGGTTTATTTTCTGCTGGTGTCGTTGGTATATATTCACTAATTTTCAGGAATAGAAAGGTGAGAAGCCTTCAGCCTTGAAGACAGGGTTGCTGAGTCTTAAGTATCGGCCCCCAGGCAGATTTTAACAGAGTTTGCCCTGATCGTCGACTCGGAGGCCTGGAATGAACACCATTTCCGCCGAGATATTGTTGAATTTTCCATCTTATATACATTTATATACTTATATCTTTACTTATCTTCATATCACATCTTGTCCTGTCACATCAGGGCTTTATGGGTGGTTATTTCTTTCTATGTTGACAACGCTCGCAAAGCCATCCAATTCTCTTCGTCCTGGTCCGCGGGCCGAAAGTGAGGAGGGGAGTACCTTATTTGGATTGGTATTTGATGTGGGCGGTATGTTGTGGATTCTTATTGCATTGGGATTGTTTGCGGATGTCTGGGGCTTTAATCTCAATGGATGGCTAATAAAAATGCTTGCAAGAAGTTGTAAGGCTAAGGTTTTGTCAGCCAACATTTCTTCCTAGGGTTGTGATACGTTGTGATCCGCTTCCATAGTGAGAGGCACATAGCTGGCTAGGTCGAGGGCTCCGTACGGCAACGTATGCATCGTCTTGATGTGTTGCGCAACCAGTTCATCAATCGGTCGCAAATGATGGACAATCTTGTCCACCTCGTGGCGATAGCGATCTATTTTCAATCCTATTCACACCTTTTGCTTGTTCAACCGCGGCATTGTTGTACAGCGTGGCTTGGTTTTGAGATGACGATGGCCTGATATTGGGACGCTGGCTGCATCACGTTGCAACTGGGATATATTGCGAGCCTGTGTCACATCTCTGTCGCCTGGCAAGGATGGTTGCTATTACTTTTTGGATCTTTGTTGATGATTTTTGGACTGTTTCAGACGTGTTGCCACGTATAACTGCAACTCTTACAGGTTTTACGCCTCACACCTTCAACTATCAGGTTGACTGTGCGATCAGACTCGCCAAATTGATTGGCATCGAGTGCATGCGGAAAGACTTGTTCTCCACGCATCGCTGTACCCCCCAACTGAGCGTGTGTAACTCGAATGATATACCCATCGAATGGCAACTTTTAATGGCATATATGGTGATCAACTCCTGATCAACCATGAGATTTTGCAACCGCAGCTGTTTCCTTTTTCCAACACAGCATCTTGCTGGTCTCAGATACTGCGCACTCACCTCATGGCCACCTAAGCACAAATCATTGCCCTCGGAAAAGAGGCACCTATATACACTTCTGATAATGGCAATGGGTGAATGTCAAAACCCTGATATTGCAACAAGTTCACATGTGTATATATAATAACATATGTATATCATTACAGTATGTATAGTCAATCATAGTACAGTAAATAATATGGTGAATATGAGTGTGTTTGTATGACCATAGTGTGCACATGTTTGAGTGTTTCCGGAGATCTTTATCCAAGCTTGTGGCCCATTGTGGCATATTCTGGCCCCCTGTCAAAAGGCAGAGAAGGAACACTGGCCGCCTGCACCATCAAAATGATGGAATTGGGTATGTGCCTTCACAGAGAGGGAAAACACGAATTTGAATTGCCCATTTTACATCTCCAAAACACGGAATAGGAAATCAGTGAACGTCTTAAATTCAAATCATTATTTGCATCTCCACCATAGGAACCGACGTTTGGTAAACACCACTGCAGCCAGTAGGATTGCTGAGCTTCCGAGCCATTCTAGAAGCCCTAGGCCATCCCTATCCACCTTGGTTCAGTTGTGTCGAAATGGGAAAACACTCCAACGTGGCGACTGGATGTGCTACGCTTTCAAACTATTTCAGTCAACATTTGGTGACCAAGTCTACTTCAACATTATCAACTATGTATCAAGTATTTATGGTAAATCACGCCATTAGACGCTTTTGTTCATACGGGCAGTTGGGATGATAGTGGTGGAACTAGCCGCTAACCTCATATAGCTGGGCACAAGTAATACCCATCCCCAGGTGCCGACCGCGCCAACGATGGACATGGCCCGGCGATTTTGTCTCGCCTCTGGACAAGCTGTGCGTTTGAAGCATGGGGATCTTTTTTCAAGGGGAGATCACTGCCAATCCGAGAAACACAAATGATCTAACATGACATCAGTGACATCTCATCATATCACAATTGGTGGATTAACTCACAAAAAAACATTTGACAGCTGGTAGAACCCAGAAACACGAGATATGGTATGGATCCACAACATGGGCTATATATTCAGTGGAAATAGAGTGAAAATGAGTGAAATTCATCCTTGTATTCAATCTTTTAGGGTTCTATGCAGGTTCTAGAGTTACTTGTGGAGTGTCCCATGTTTCGGAAGGTGTGTGACAAGCAACTGCCACAAAGCAAATGCTTTGGTTCGTGTCTCTCTTTCATGCACCACCACAAAAAGATACTGTGTCCTTCGGCGCAAAGCCCCTTTGTTGATTCCTTCAACATGACGCTTCTAACGCCTGCTACATGAATGCACACCTTTGTCCAACATGTGCTGCCACGACATCGGTAAACTACGGTAAATATCGGTAAATCACTCGGGTCAAGGTAGACCAAGGCAGTGCGACCTTCCCCGCCTCTGCGAAGTGCACAGCAGTGACTCGGAAGCGGATAAGACGGTCCTGGGAGGATGGTAGAGAGATGATACCCAACATATCCACAATGGGGGGCCCGGTAGCTTGCGAAATGGTGTGGAAATTTGTGGAGATGAATGGATTATTCCCCAGGAATCCCAAATCAACGCGAGTGATCTATTGGTGCCAAATAGTTACCTGCTCATGCAAATCTTTACACAAATCTCCGTACAAACCCTCGCATATTCAAGCAAATCAAAATTGATCAAATATATCCCCCTGCACATTTACCCCCCTGACCCAAGGCAACCATTTTGTAAGGGACCCAGGAGTTAACCTTACAAACATCCATGGTTGGGGGTTTACAAAATTGGCTGGGCACCAGGCTTGGTGTGATTCCCCAGCAAACACCGGTGAACCCCAAAAAAAATCAAAAATCGGCTCCTTACAAAATGGTTGCCCCAAGTTAATTTCCAGGCCCCAAACCCAATCATCTTATAAGCTTGTGTCTTAAAACATGGTTTGTTTGGAAACATGTCTTACTTGTACAAGTCCAACTTTCCCCAGGGAACCCCGCAATTTTTTCCCAGTCCCCAAAGTTTGGAAAAAATCCCAGAAAGTTTGATATCACCTTTTCTGGTTGGTTGACTTAGTGGTGTCTTGCCGGTTCTTCACACATCAATGGTGGAACCCAAAAAAAATTAGAGAAGAAACCCTGGTTCCTGGACATGGCCAAGATTTCAATACCCTTTTTTGCACTGCCTGAAATGAACCCAAAATTGCGTTATGAAATGATTGGCCCCGAGTTCATTTTGTAAAGAAAGTTGGCTCTTACAAAATGATTCGCCCAGCAAAAAACACGCTTTTTACAAAATGGCATGGTTGACCAGAAACATGTCCTTACAAAATGCATCCTTTTGTTAGAAAAATGCCCCTGGAATGGAACATGGGTCAAGCCATTTCATAGTGGAAATGTACACAGGGATTCAAATATGAGTTTGATGTTGCATGGATGATACGGATATGGACAGAGCTGTATTATATTGTACATTATTGTACAGTATTACTACTGAGTACTGTAGTTGCAAGATCTTGAAAGTACCTCCAGCAATAGCAAGCTTCGTAACTTCGTAACTCATTGTTGTCTAAATCCAATGTTATGAGTACTTGGCCAAAGATAAATATTCTTTACTTGGATATGTTTGGACACTTTCGATTCATGAGTCCATTAGAAACTTGACACGCCTGAGATACTGACCTAGGTATGCTGGGTGGCCAAACATGTTTTTGATTGTTTTTGCTCTGAACGTTGCTGCATGAGACTCACCGCATGTGAGACCGTATGCTTCATAGTGGTTAGTTTCATCATACTAAATCATACTGTAGTGCATACTAAGGCAATGTTTCTTCATCAATACAGTTTACGTATCTCCCCCAACAGCAAAGTACCGCTTGAGTCAGGAAACATTGCCACAACAACCGGGCATTGATTTGGCACAACTGGCTGCAATTCGTCAATTCGTCGGTCCTTGTCGTAGAAGTAGTTCACAGATTCATTTGTCTCCTGAAATACTGCCATCGTCACACAGAAAAAGATTCCAATTGGTCTGTTCATCCTACGTCTATGGGAATGGGACCTGGGAGTCACCAGTCCAGCATTACACACAATATCACCCAATCATCTTTAAGGGAATGCAGGTGCGGTGGGTCCGTTTTGGAGCCCAACATCGGAAAGCAAAGCAGCTAACGCAGGTTGCAATAAATGCCAGCGTTTTGACGGTTGAACATCTTTGAAGACTCATTCGTTATCTACTGACATAGGTTAGAAATGATCAGAATAAACTGAAGAAAATTGATCTGGATTTAGTATCGCTATTGATGCACCAGCAGACACTTTACGATGTATTTAGTTGACCTGGTCTCCCATGGTCAATGTTTTGGTGATCTTATCATAGCTTCATACCTATTAGATCCTATTAGTCATATACAGAAACCACAGGACTCCCAGGTTCATGCCAAAATCCACCGCAAACAACGGATCTTCCCAACTAGCTTTGCCTCGTCTCGATACAGCCAAACCTGGGGAATGATCTAAGAGGACCTTGCTCGTCATCCCCTTCCCCTTTGAGGTGCACAATACCGCAGACTGACAAGATAGCAGGAATTAGCAGGATAGCAGTCCAGACATGTTGATAAGTTCGCCCAGATTTGTGCGATTTCTGGTTTACAGCATTTATTCATATATTATTCATATTTATTATTTATTCATCTTTACGCTATGGTATCTAGAATCTAGAATCTAAACATGATAAGGAACTCCTGTGTCATGCTCAAAGACGATAGTTTGACATCCGCAAGCCAGCGACACCCCATCACTGAGGCAATGCATCAGTGGCAATGATAGCGGCTTTGATGGGGGGTTTCTAAATTACTTAGGGGAGTCACCAAATCATCCAAAACTGAACTTTTAGAAACCCTATGGTCTTGCAATGTCTTGCAGCCAAATTTTGACACCCAAAGACCATCAAATGACCTAAGACACCTCATCCATGCGGTCACCACCTTTATTTCAAACAAGGAGCTTCCGAGATGTTCCGAGCTTGATCCCACCATCCACGTGGAACTGACATTGGGGTATCCTAGAATTTGTGAATGGTTTTGAGACAAACCCAAATTTGGAGACCAAGGCACACACACACAAAACCCCATCCATCTTTAGAATTTCTGAGTCTCCGAGTCTCCAGCCCACCGCTCTTGCGCCGAATCGTACATGTACGGAGTGCGCAAATTGGCGGACGGAATCTCCACATCCTCCAGGCGGGGCAGGGGGACCACCCGTCACTCATGGGGAGTATCAGGAGAAGGCTATGGAACAGAACTAGGGATAGTAACTGCCAGATGGATCCAAATGGATCCAAATGGGCTAGGAATGTCTTGGGAATGTTTTGGGAATGTCTTGGATATACTGCATAATGTATGTAGCATGTGAGCAGCTCACAAGTTGACTCAGACCATTCAGACCGGCCTCGAAGAAGCCCAAGGAGATCTGCAACCCCTTCTGAGTTGACTTCATCACCAAGCCGACCTCAGTTGACTGGGACACCTGGGACACCTGGGTCACCTGGGTCACCTGGGCACCTTAAGATTGGCAAAAAAATGCAAAGAAACAAGTGCCTGTTGGCACTGGCCTATCCAAACAACATCAAACATATCCACCAAAATTCCACCAAATATGTATCAAGAATTGGCTGCCTCAGTAGTCATCCCAAGCAGGAAGTAGTTCGTTTCAGCAGAAACAATACTTTGTGATTTCATAGATTCATGTGTCTAGACGTGACTCTAATTTTGGCTGGTACGATGCTCCCCAAGATCCAGGGGTTCCTTATGGTTCTGCTGCCAGCTGCGAGGCCAGCAATTCCAAGGTAGCTGCCAGCCACTCGTCGATCAAAGGCTGAAACACAATAAGTTGGAACTCCACCTGGCCGCATTTCGAACTTGTGAACTGGGTGTCATCAGCCATTGATTTTTGGGGACCATCCAACGCCCATGAGACTTGTACATCACCAGCAAAAAGTTGGTATCTCACCCCAACGTAGACTGGGTCAAGATTATTTGCAATCTACAAACTCAGATGGTTCAAGACCGACAAATAAGCGCAAATAAGTGCAATCAGGCCTGTGCGTGGGCCCGGAGTTGGGAAAATCCAGGCGTTTGTTGGGACCCACGCCCCCCACTCCCTGGCTGAGCTGGCCTTTACGAAGGCCTCTCCACATGAATGCTTGCCATCACCAGGATAGATCGTTGCATCCTGCGCACCACGATCATGGCGACCCTCAATCCCTGGACATTCATCCGGGCTGTAGGGGACTCTTTGCTGTGTCGTGGTTTGCTAACTTCTGCTTTCCAAACATGCCCACAAATCCTGCACAGATCAGGCCTTGATGCTGACAAAGTTGTAAAACTCTATACCTGAGTTGCAAAAGCCAAGTCATATAACTCATCACAACACCGTGTCATTTCAACCTTTTCAAGGATAGTTTGGAAAAGCTGTTGGACTGCCCAACACAGGGCGGAGGCAACCACACATGGATGTGTCCAGAAATTGCGCAAAATTGCAGTTTATATATAAAACAACGAGAAATAACTATAAAGCACTGGATGTTGGAGCATACTGTACCGTATACATCCGTATACCGTATACCCTATTACCATCTATTACCCCATTCTTACAGAAAGCCACATCAACCGCAGGTCCACGTTGTACCAGATACACAAGCCCACGTTGGGAATAATCCGATCCACATATCGCAATTGGATCTGCCTGGGTGCGAGCAGTGGCCGGAGCCTCTCAGTAAATCCTCTCCATTCGTTGGTTGACAGGAAAACCAAATAGATGGATGGATGGATGGATGGATGAATGCTAACTGCATATTATTGTATATCTCCTTTCAGCAGCATTTCTGAGTTCTACGATGTCACAGCGCAATGTTGACAGCTTCTGCATGGTCATATAAATTGAAACATAATGTCCCAATGTTTGATAATTACATCTCCATCCATCTGTTCTAGTTCGCTCCTGTTCATTGCTGTTTGCTGCGGCCTCTTTAGCTGATCCCTTTGATCGTCTCGGAAATCCTCAGCCGCAGCTCGAATCTGCTGGCAACTTTGAGATCTTTGAGCATACACAAATCATGTCTGATCAGCTCTTGCATATGTTGCAACAAAATGATTTCTGATGATTTCTAGCTGGGTATTGGACTCAGATTTTCTCACTGGCAAACGGGTAAAGTATTCAACTACCCAACCAAGGTTTTCGCAAGTACATATTTCAGGGAACCAATGCCAATGCCAAATAATGCCAGCAAGAATATGCAAAGACGGATGAAAGAAGAGATGTCGCCCAACCAGATTGGGTGGTTTCTCAAATTCGGGATTTGCCATCATGATTGATGCCCAGCCCCTCCTCGGGCGCAATAGGAATGTCATCGGCTAACAGTGCCTCAGAACACATCGGAAGCCCATGAATTCCCAGCTAGGGTTGCCCAGAGAAATACAGTAATGTTGGATGGACAATAGTAAACGGGGGTCCCCCCCCATTTTTTTTTTTTTGGGGGGGGTCTGCTTTGCAATAGTAAATCGAAAATCCCAACTCTTCCCCAAAGGCTTCTGTAAGGTTTTGACAAATCCTCTCTTTTCTGATGGGCTCTGATGGGATCTTCATTGGATTCTGATAGGAAGAAGGGAAAAAAATGCCTGCTAGAGCCAGGAAGGTTGTTTCTTATTGCAAGTGCTAATTCCAGTTTTTAATTGCAAACGCAAGGACCTGCAAGGGGGTACCCTTTGTGGACCTGTTTTTTGCAATTTTTTAAAAGGATTTTAATAAAGAAAACAACTTTTTTGAACAAGGTAAAGTTTTTGATTTGGTAAAGGTTTGCTTTGTTTTTGCTTTTGAAAAACATGCAATCACAATTAAAAACCATTCAGCCACAATTAAAAACACTAAGGAAGAAGGGAACAAATGCCTGCTAGAGCCAGGAAGGTTGTTTCTTATTGCAAGTGCTAATTCCAGTTTTTAATTGCAAATTTTTAGTGCAATCAATAGGGGCTGAAAAATCAGATTCTGAAAATTATTTGTAGCTATTGCACGCGCTTTACTATTGTCCATCCAACATTAGACGAGTACATCGGACATACATCCAAAACGTGCAAGTTTAATCGGGCATATTATAAATTATGATCAACTGTATTTTGGGGCGTACCTACTTTTATTAAGAAGCCCAAATAATGGGAACATTTTGAAGTCTTTGGAAAGAACTCCGTAAATGCCCAGGGTTAACAGTTTTTTTCAGCGTCATTCATGATTGACACAAGAAACAAAGTCTTGCATAATTTTGTACTTCCAAAGTCATCGCGACTCACAAATTAAACTGACATCATGCTGACATGAAAAAGCACGAGGCCGCATTGTCAGTAGTGAATGATTGTTTTGATCTGTTTGATCAAATTTATAGTAAAGATAGGTTTCCTAAAATGAGGGTACCACCAGATAATCCACTTGGGATTTGCCATGAAGTAAACCCTCCAGCTATTGCTGCTATTGGGGTACTCCTATGGCTATGGAAAGGCCGCCCTCAGGTCCTGGCCAACGTGAACATTGGTTGGCCTCAAATGATCTCATCACCGGCGTGAAACATGTGGCATGTTTTAACTTTTAAGGGTCTACATCTTGCGATGGGAACGGTAGGTTGAGGTAGGCGGGGTGACAATATATAGTAATGATATTCATGTAATATACATATACATCATTATACATCTATCATATCTACATATTTACCTGCAAATAATATCAAATTCAAATAATAAATAATTAATCATTTTCAGCGCTTTCAAGAAGCTGCACGTGTATTCAAAAACAGTTACATGGCAGTTCCTCGGCAACAAAGAGACATGAACCCCCAAAATTGGCGGCGTTGTATGCGGAATTCATCTTTCAAACTTTTTTGGGACGTTCCGCTGTTCCGCTAAAAAATGGCAGAGCTGTCCTTCATGTTCCAAGCTGTCTCACGTCAAAAATAATCTTGGTCCTAAATTGGAAACCGATTTGTGGATTTAGGGCTGCGCCATGCCAGTGATTCGGATGTTGCTTCATGCATGCAACTAAAAAAATGTGCCCAAAACTTTCTACACGACATCCGAAGTTCCTCTTCCATCCTCCTTGTATGGTTCATATTATACAAGTAATTACAAGTATATATAGGCTCGTCCCAGGTCCTGGAACTACATACGATGGGGTGGGGGGATGGGGTGGGATGTTAACGTTCATGTGAACTTGCAGAAGCAGTTGATGCTACGCACACGCGGTGGGGGAGGGGGGGGGGATGGGGTGGGATGTTAACGTTCATGTGAACTTCCAGATGATGATGATACTAATGCTGATGCTGATGCTGATGATGATGATGACCCTAATGAAACTTGTCAATTCCGCGACGAAATTTCGTCACGGAATTGACAAGTTTTACCAACCTAATTCGGGTTTGCGCAGTTCTAGGACCTGGGACGAGGCTATATATACACCCAAATTGGATGGTTTTCTAGCAAACAATATTGGAGAATTGTATAGAATTGTACCAAAAAATAGCGGCTTCTTGCTCGACCCATAGCCGCCACAGCCAATACTTATTGCATCTTATTGCTGCGTCTGCTGCACTTGTCCCGGTGTCAACAGCAATCAGCACTTGCAGCTCAGTCCAGTCACCAGCAGTCACCAACTCTCATGCCATGCTTTGTGACAGCTTTAACAGGCTCTCATCACTGTGTGCAAGCGTCCGTCGGTTGCAGTGGTTGAGGGTTGGTGGGTGGTTTGCAACACGTGACCAGCACATTACAAAGAAGGGTACTCTCCAAACAAACGATACAAGAAAAAATGTTAAAGCATGCTGAATTCAAGCATTCACCAAAATGATTTCCAAACTTTGCATCGGTGGGCCATTATCCATAGATCAATGCATGGGCTGGAGAAGGAGGGCATACTCCACGAACTAAGAGCATGCATACATGGAAAATCATGGAAATCTCCTGACCTGGTTCTTGTTTGCACCAGTTTTGCTGGTTGTCGCACAAACCAGCTGCATTCTTGTTGTCACATTGGCTGTCTGAAATTCTGTCTGAGCTTGAAATGGCCACGCACACAGTCATCGCCACAAACCTTCACCTCGTTACCATGGATCTGAGTGATGCAATCAGTGCATCCAATGCCCAGAATGGGCTTGGCAATCTGGCAAGTGCACAGCAAGGACACGGATGATCTCCCACGACAATGACTGCACTTCACATCCCCCTCCAAGTGAGTCTCGAAACAACCTCTTCAGGGACCATGAGCAATTTAACATCAGAATCGGTCAGACATAGAAGAGCATCGTTGAAACCCGCATTTTCTGTAATTACGAGTACGATGGATCGGCCTGCACCATCAGCGCCCATTTTTCCATGCTCTTCCATGGCTGTGGATCTGAAGGCTCCTTGAGGGCCTCGGACCAACGGCAAGTGCCGAAAATCTCATGGCCGTGCAATCAAGCCATATAGATCCATATAGATCAAAGTCACCTCGTTGTAAATGCAGTGGAATGCAATGGAACTGCAGTGGAAATCAGAATCAGTGGGGCACAGGGCACGTGGCATCTTTTGCAAGTCACGCTGCTTCGAAAACGAGAACCAGAAGGTTGGAAAAACTGTTGACCGTCCATTTATGTCCATTTCCATACTTAATGTTATCTGGGGTTACTTCATTCTAGGTATAACTATGGGAATAACCGAACCCCATGATATAATCATATATAACACATATAACACCCCTATAACTTTAGGTTATATTTCCGCTTATATAGAGTATAAATCTTATAACTTGGAACTGCAACCCTAAGTAACTCTGCCAAAGAAAGGGACCCGGCTGGAGGCCTTCGCACTGCACAGGAAGTGAAAAAGGTATAGCCATCATAACTGCTGCAATGACAAGTTCATCAAATTGTTCAGGAGGACGTGATGTGAACTGGGTTAGATCTTCATCGTTCCCATCATTTCAGCTAAACTTCCAACCTTCTGTGGAATTGAGGTCCTTCATTTGAAGGGCCTGCTTAGCAGTGCTTAACAATTGTATTACATGACGCAACCGTGGACTCGCACCAACCATCCATGGAATGCTTGTGAGCTGGCCATCGGTCGCGCCATTGGTCGGCAAACCATTGTGAGGGACTGCCGAAAATACGGCACTCTGGCAACATACCGCGGAATGACACACTTTGCAACAATCTACCATCAAAAACAGCAGGGATAAACTAGGAGCACGGCCTTTAGATGGCCGTGGGTTTTTTTGATCAATGAGGTGTTGTTGATCATGTTTGATGTGCTCGTGCCAATAGGAATTTGTGTGATTTTATTTTTGAGGTCGCCAACCCGTTATTCACAAGCAGTAGGACGAAAACAATCATTTCGCCAACACGAAACTACCATTATTGGGTTTTCTGGCCAATCTGAAACTAATTCGTTGTCGCATGTTTTTAGCCGTCTTTTGGTCAGAGCAGCGCCTCCAGTTCTTCCAAGAACCTTTGAGGATCTGGACTCTGCAAGCTTGAACGCCAACACCACATGAACACATATTGATCATAATGTGTCACGGAGGGGTGCGTAGCATGACCCAGGAGTGCAAAGTTCAAGAGAACAAACAGTAGCGTAGCATGACGCATGCATCAGTGCAAAGTTCAAGAGAACATGCACTAGCGTAGCATGACGCATGCATGAGTGCAAAGTTCAAGGGAACATGCAGTAGCGTAGCATGACGCATGAGTGCAAAGTTCAAGAGAACATGCAGTAGCGTAGCATGACGCATGCGTGTAAAGTTCAAGAGAACATACAGTGGCGTAGCATGACGCATGAGTGCAAAGTTCAAGAGAACATGCAGTAGCGTAACATTATTGCACAAGAGTGCAAAGGGAAAGAGAACATGCAGTGGCGTAGCATGACGCATGAGTGCAAAGTTCAAGAGAACATACAGTAATATACAGTAGCGTAGCATGACGCATGCATGAGTGCAAAGTTCAGGAGAACATGCAGTAGCGTAGCATGACACATGAGTGCAAAGTTCAAGAGAACATGCAGTAGCGTAGCATGACGCATGAGTGCAAAGTTCAAGAGAACATACAGTAGCGTAGCCTGACGCATGCATGAGTGCAAAGTTCAAGAGAGCATGCAGTAGCGTAGCATGACGCATGAGTGCAAAGTTCAAGAGAACATGCACTAGCGTAGCATGACACATGAGTGCAAAGTTCAAGAGAACATGCACTAGCGTAGCATGACGCATGAGTGCAAAGTTCAAGAGAACATGCGGTAGCGTAGCATTATTACGCATGAGTGCAAAGTTCAAGAGAACATGCAGTGGTGTAGCATGCCGCATGAGTGCAAAGTTCAAGAGAAAAAACAGTAGCGTAGCATGACGCATGAGTGCAAAGTTCAAGAGAACATACAATAGCGTAGCATGATCATGAATGAAAAGTTGAAGAGAACATACAATAGCGTAGCATGACGCATGAATGAAAGGTTGAAGAGAACTTACAATATACAGTACCGTAGCATGACCCATGAGTGCAAAGCTCAAGAGAACATAGAGTAGCGTAGCATGACCTATGAAAGAGAGAGCCATGGACGTTATTGTCCCACCCCACCCCACCCATGAATACATGCACCTGCCGGCAGCCACAGCGTAGCATGTACCTCATCTGCAAGTTCACATGAACGTTAATACATGCCCCACCCCACCCCACCCCACCTCACCCCACCCCCCCAACGTCAACAAAACACCACGGCCGTCTAAAGGCCGTGGTCCAACGACTATATCAAAAAAAATCTATCATACTATGAGATTAGAAGCAGCCAGGATGCATCATCGAAGAGCCCTAGCGATATGGACATGGGTGTCCAACCTCGGGCTACTAATTAGTTAATTGATCAGTGCAAAAGGCCACGGTATTCACTCGTACCTATGTTGTAATGATCTAGGACTAGGATCATTACGAAACCATTCTGTTGCGACATGGGAAGAAACTCCAAGGGCAGAGCTCATGACGTTTCGCAATGCACACATTCACACCTTGGATGACCTGAGTTTGTCCAAAATTGGGTATCCCGCCCAATTCCAACTTCTTATCATGTTCCCCATCAAAATAACAATTTGGATCAATTTGGAGGTACATGGTATGTCTACTATATGAGGGGGGTGGGATTAGTTTCTTAGTTTCTACCAGTACTATTGATCCAATCTCCGCCATCAGTTCCCATCAGTACCATCGCTCATCGCCGCCAGCCCTCACAGGCAGACAGGTAGGCTTCCCCAGCCTGACAGCATGGCTGCCACTGTGTGGGGAAACACCCGTTGTTGGAGTCGCTGGAAAAAGTTAACACAACAAATCACAAAGCATCAAAAGCCATGAGGGGAACATAGAAATAAGACATGTATGATCAAAAACCAGGAAAAATATGACAATCAATAAGATAATATGATATAATATGTATATATAATATATGAATTATAAATTAAATATGTATATGTCGAGACCTGAATGATTCAAATCGTCAGTAGGGCGAAACCAACACTTGCTGAAAGCAAACGATACCACAAATATTAATGCAGCCACGTGACCTCGTTGAGTCTGCCATCAGGACCAAACAAAAGGAGGTTGTAAACACCTTCGCAGCTGGGACAGGGCAAGGATGACTGGGTTGATTGGGTTGACTGGGTTGACTGGATGCTCAAAACTCTTGGAGCAAAATGGAGCAAAGGATCAAGCATCATGCACTGTCCTGGATTTATCTGCAAGCGACTGCACTGGACCAGCATACCTTATGCTTCATTATGCTTCCTGGACCCCCAACAACTCGGACTCAGCGAAATGCAAGAAATCGGGACATCTGCTGCCGTCGCAAACAGATTGGGTCGGAATCGATTTGATGGCGCAACTCTGTGTCCAATCTCCATTTCACCTGGCCGCCTGGCCTCCATCTTCATCATGGTTGAACCAAGAGACGTGCTTTACCACCTGCGTGCATGGCTTTGAGGCAAGTTGGAAGTTGGAGAAATTCTGATTCTTCTGGAGCCTCACCAGCTTTCAAGATCCAAATTTGGGTGGTGATTTCCCATGATTTCCCTAAGTCTTGTATCGCCATGGCTCAAATTCTGCCACTTCATGCAGTGGCTCACCCAGTGCCTCCCGGCCATCCTTGGTTCTGGCGGCCTTGATGTGATCCTTGGTGAGGGGAAATTGACCGGAAGCTGCTGGCTTGGATCTTTAATCAACGCACAGTGCTTCAAGGACATTCTGATCTTCCTGTTCATTCCTAGGAATGTGGATATGACTCATATGACTATATGTAAATCTGGGGTGTTTCATTGATTTCATTGTGACCCATATCGAATGGACATCAATATCATCATCAATATCATCAATGGATCAGGGATGGGGATGGATGGGGTATATCATACATCCCATCCCAGTGCATCCCACCAAGTTTCAAAGAGCTTCTTGATGAAGCTGGCCATGCCATGGGGCAGTTGCTCTGTCACTGGGCAGCTACGGTCCTAGTTGGGACAAGGGGAGGTGGATGGAGCGCCATCAATTTCCACCGGACATGCCGCAAAAGTCCAAGAATGCCGAAAAAGCGTGAAAAAGCGACAATCTATGGATGGTTCCAATATGGTTACCATTTCACTTCACCGAAAACTCGCCACCCACCTTCAAAGACGTTGGGATCTTGAAAAACAAAATGGGAAGGGACCCCCAAGAAGAAAGCAATGGGTGGGGCCGTTCGTCCTTCTGATTCTTTCCAGGATTTTGGCCGGAGTTTGGAACCTGGGCCAATTGGTGAAGCCGCAAGCCCAAACTTAAAAGCCTTGGAAGAGTCCCAATAGCCAATAGCTATGTAGAATGTAAGTAACATGTGTGCTGTATATTGTGCCAATTTATTGTGCCAATGTCATATCGTATCTACAGTAAGTCTAAAAATCATTGCAGTGTTTTTCTGAACATTTCCAGTGCTTTTCACTGTAAAATTCAGTGAGCGCCGAGTCACACAGATTGGATTCTGGTCTTCGGAGGCACAGTTCAACATGCCCACTTCGTTGATGATGGCGCCCTTCACGAAAGGATACAGCCTTGGTCGTTGAGGAAACACCACTGGATATTGGGTACAACAACACTACAGTTGGATGTTGTTGCTTGAATTGAATATCCCCCCAATTGGCATAAACAAGATTTGTTACTTTTCTGAATCCAAACTTTGCCGGCAAAAATATGATCAACTGTTTGCCGCTTTTCAATCCTAGTTTTCTCAAACCCTAACTTGAAACCTTGGCAAAGCTAGATCATGATGATCATGACCACCCCTTTTAAGGATATGTCGTAGTGTTTTCAACATTTTTCAACCATCCCCCGACGGCCCTGGTCACTCATATCGAGTAATTATGGACCCAGTAGCTCCATGATCTTCGCCACAGCGTCCAAACGATGTTGCAAGGTGTCATAACCGCCAGGGCCCTGCAAACTTGGCGAATTTTTCTCATAACCAAACCGCTAAAGGGGAATTGATTTTAGGGCATGCAAATGTGTAGTATTCACAGAGTACACCATATATGTACCATACTTATATACCATATATATATATATACCACATATACCATACGCATCATATCACCAAAAGATCTGTATGAATTTATGAATGGATCGATTAGTTCTCCATCATGGTCACAAGGGCAAAATTATGTGCAATAAATCATCATCACACTTTGCAGCATTCGGAGACAAAGTGGCAGCATGATGTGACACGACAACATCCATCCTTCTCTATCTTCACACTTTTAGAAAGCTCATGTTTGAGCCTTTTGCATCCTTTTGTACGCTTTTGCTTTGAAATTGGTGTGCAACCCGCCTCAGGCAAACAGTCATACGCATAGAAGTGGAATCCCACATATACAGGGCAACCACAACTTGCCTCAGTGCTATATAGTGCTATGTCTGTGGGTGACATATAGGAGGCGTTGGCAAGTTCCAGGGTGAGGCGTCAGACCCTTTCCAGTTGAGTAAACCAACAAATTGGATGGACAAACTCAATTGAACAGTCCGTTAGTAAGTGCCACTTTATGAAAGTGCGTGCAAATTCCCAAACACCTCGAGGTCAATGCCGGAATCGGGAGAATCTCACCCCATTTTTAGGACATTTAACATCCCAACATCATCCAACATCTACCTTTCTTCGCTGAGCAACGTCTTGACAGCTGCACTGACCGTTGACGCATCCACAGGCGTGCTCGATAAAACTCTTGGCCTTGGGGAAGTCATGGTCCAGTGTCTACACACCTAGGTCACAAACTTGGGAGATAATGAAGTGCCTGATAAGTGCTGGTTGCTATAATATGTAAACAGAATATCACTTTATTACTGTATATAATAAAATCCTTATTATACTTTATTTTATCTTTTTTTTCCATGTTTATCCAATTTCTGTATGTCTTGACCAGTTCTTGCAGCTGAGCAATCTCAACCCTTGCAGCTTTAGAATCCAAGGCACGTAGTCCATATTCTCAGCCACCAGAGGAGTGGTCAAGAATTTGTAGCCCTGGCAATTCAGGCTGGTGAGTTCACCAAATGGTGGAATATTTCTATCATCTGCTATGGGGAAATCCGGTAAAACCTGGCCATGGATGATTCATCATGCTTCATCATGCTTCCGTTTGGCTTCGTTGGCTTGGCCTTGGAATAGGCCGAACGTGCCGTCTTCTTCCAATTATTCATCACAGTGTCCACGCAACCCAAATCCTCACCGCCGGATCTTGAAGGCAAAAAAGGATCTTGGAGTCACGGCGCCAGCATCTCTAAGCCTTTCAAGTTTCAAAAAGATTCAAAAAGGTCGAATCTATTCGAATCTTTTCTCTTGGGATGGGATCCATTGGGATCCATTGCGATCCAGTCCTCCCACATCTTTGGCAAGGGCTGGGAGGCGCTGCAGCCCGCCAAGGGCCAAAAGCCAGCTCCTCTTCGTGATGCTGTTTTAGAATTTCTCTTGCATCATCCCAATGAATTTATAAATGTATGGATTGGTTTGTAGGTAAGATATATATGGTCCAGAGATAAGCCACAGTATTTTTGTCCATTCATCGGTTTGGATCATCTTGGCCTATGACATGCATCACAATGTGCCATATACTGTACGTTGGGTAGCAAACTTGTTGATAAATTCCAGCTCCCCTGAACAATTGATTCTAGTCATGCTGGATGATTGTCATGCCCAGGCCTGTCGCATGGGAGTATTGCCAGCAATTGCACTCACCCTGGCACGGGAAAGTCGTGAAAATTCTACCATTGGAATTTCTCATGGATTTAAACTTGATTCAGGTGGAATAGTCAACTTTCTGGCGCTCTTGATCCAAGTTGCTGTAAACTCTTCACCTGAATCACCTGAACATCTCAGAGACGCGGCCCTCTTGCTCAGACTCTGCATGAGAGCATGAGACAGCAAAACCTTACAGGGTCCGAACTGACAAGACTGCCTGTTTTGGTGACTTACATTAAGAGTCATTAAGATCATTAAGCTGGAAGCAACTGACATCCATCTTATCAGGTTTTCTACATTTTTCTACTGTGTTTCCTAGTCACGGCCCTAGTCTTTGGATGTCTTTGGCACTCCCCCAATTCAACGGCTCTCCGAACCCTGGAGTTTGGCTCAGCCGCGGAAGTCAAGTCCAAGCGAGCAATGGGGCCTCAGCAACTGTGACAAATGTGGTGACTTTGCCAAGAAACGATGATGACAGTCTATGCGATTCCCATGGGTTCCCATGGGTTCCCGTAAATTCAGGGTTCGGTTGATCTATGTTAATTTATGCTAATTTATACAGGATATGTATCCGATGTGAATAAGCGTATGTACACAATGTCTCTCTGTTCAACCATCGCTTTCCCCTTGGTTGCACCATTATTTTGGTGGATAAAATGGGGTACTTGTTTGAAACAGCACATGGCAGAATGGTGACTCTTTCTTTGTTTGAAACCATGGCAAAACTCTATGGAATATATGGTACCCTCTGGTAGATTAACATAACTATGGAAAACCACCATTTTTAATGGGTAAATCCACTATAAATAACCAGCATTCTGATCATGGACCCACTGCCCCACTGAGCCACGGATTGGCATCCGTGCAGTCTGTAGGTGTCTCGCAGTGTGATCTGCACTTTCCAAACCTGGGCAGATCTGGGCAGCTTGTACCGAGGGAGGACCACCCTGTTCTCAAACACTATTTAAGTGAGTCGTGAGCAGAATAGGAGTCAGATTTTTGAGAAAACTATAGCCATAATAATGCCATAATACTTGGGCTTACTTAGGATACTTAGGTATATCTGGGAAGATTTATGTTTCTGCTATACAAATCGTTCCAGTGGACCCCGACATGTTGCCCATGCAGCTGCCATAGATGTCCGGCTCATTCGTGCCCAGCAAAATGTTCGCCTGACAACTGCCATCCAGCGTGTGTTCAAACATGGGAAACCATGAGACACCTCCAATTTGTATGGTCATTTTATGGCAATTTGGATAGGGAAATGATGATCGAAAACGATATCATGGAACTTTGGGGCACTTACTCTTACTGTACTTATTTGCAAACACACCCAAAAAAACCCAAATATGTGGATCAACATGGCCGGTTATGAGGACGGAACTCAGGAAAACCAATTTGAAGCAACAACAGTTGCAAAGTGGGCTCACTTCTATTTCAAATCAATGATGCAGTACTCGTCACATTGCTTGTTCCATCATATAACACCTGTCTTGTTCTACCACTCTGCGAAAGGGTACCGTATGAAAGTCCAACTAAGGTCATCCCCAATATATTGGCTTTTCGTTAATCCCCCAACTATAATCATCCCACAGGGGGTTTCGCAACCTGCCATCAGGGTCCACACCATCTGCGCAGGGCAGGGCTGGCCGTTGCTGTCCAGAAAGTTCACTTCACCGGCCTCGAGATCAGGTTACCGTCGACCATCACACCAAGAAAAACCATGCCAAACAAGCAAACCATTTATCAAGACTGGGTTTTCATAGACTCAATGTTTAGAAATTAGAGTTTAGAGAACGATTTTGCAGCGAACACCTCCATATTTTGATCCTATGAAACCCACCGACTTTAGATGATCTTAGCTTGTGGGACAAATCAACCATGCCAGGATGCTGGTCGCAGGTACTTCTCCGTCACCTCACCTGCTCCCCACCTGCAAAAAACCCAACGCTGTGCGCCAAGGAAACGTGGGATTGATACATCCCGCCAAAAAAGGTACATGTTTGTGGGAAATCATGGAAAAATATGGACAACTTATGATGAGAAAGCAAGATAAACCATGATAAATCTGATAGATCAAAATAAACCATGATCAACCATGAGAAACCACTGGAGTTTGGGGGTAGTTATATGATGTTATAATATATATATATATATCATGTTATAATATCAATATTTCATCATGATTCATGATATAATATCAATATTTCCGATAAACCAGTAAAACATAGTAAAACATGATAAACCGGCTAAAATCGCGCAAGGAGTGGTCCTTGCAATGGGCCGCCGATGCATCCTAAAGCCCCATCTATAGTACACAATCCCACTGAATTTGTGGCTGCCGATCCCCAACATCAGCATCCTCCAAATTTGAAATTTTGAAGTTTCACAACTCGGCACGTCGACAGATTTGTGAGTCCAAATTGGACCAACTTCCAAGTGATCTTGCACCCAGCAACTTATATCAGTCGTTGGCCACTAGAACCGGATCCACTTGGCCAAGTCACTGCTCTGGCGTGAACAGGAAGTCGCTGGTGAGGTACTGCCAGGCCATGGTGATGCGGCTGCAGGACAATTTCTGGCTCAGTGGTCAATGGCCTAGTTTCGAATCAACATATTCAATATTCAATCCCTTTTGTCTGTGACCGTTCTATACCATTCTATACAGTCTGTTAATCTTGATCACAATAGAACTTCGGAGGATAGCCAGAGTTATATTTTGCATGTAAGAATTTTAACACATTGCACTACATATTGCGCTTGATCGCAAAATCAACATCTGGGAAACCAATAAATATAACATAATAATCATAATATAACTTACTTTCACCACACCTGTACTGTTCCTATCTGTTCCTTCACCACGCCTCCGGAACCTTCTTTCCGCCGACCTGCGTTTTGTTCGCACATGCCAGGACGTCCCAGCGTTGCATCGCTGAAGTGGAAAGGATTTCCGATGGAATGACACGGCGGCATATATAAGTGACTACACATCAAGAAAGATTACAGTATCATCGCACATGAAAAACATGAAACTAAGAATCTGGAGATATACCTGATATATGTTGTATATGCTTCATTAACAAAGCCATGGGAAAAGAAACAATGTACTAAACAACTGCCTTGCCTCGTCGGTCTGTGGTGCCAAGTTCCAGTTCCAGTAGGCCACCTTGCCGAACCTCAGTGAGGAGATACTGGTAGGATTGTTAGGACATCCCCAAAAATGAAGTGCTGCCAACTGGGTTCAACTGGGTCTCAAAATGTCTTAAATCTTGACATATCTTGACCCAAGCCCTACCGGGTGTTTGTCACAGATTCCGAGGTCAGTAGCATCCTGGTTTCAACATATTCCCAAACAAATTGGTATCTGAGATCATCCCAGTTTCACTCATGGAAACAAATGCCATGTTTGAAACATGGAAACCAACGTCAAATAACATGGATTCATCATTGGTTTATCATGCTTAATTCATGTTTATCATATTTTATCATTGTTTCAATTCAATGGAAACCAGGACATCAAACAATCTTCTCTTGGTTCCCAGTGGTCCCTCATTCTGGATGACGTCCCAGCTGCGTGCTGGTCTTCTTTAAACCATCGATCATCCGTTGTGTCTCTGCGGCCACGGTTTGTCCATCCTGTGCGTGGGAAATAGATGGGTCATCTCCCAGACCAACGTTGTAAAACAATGTGGTTGGATGGTTGTAGGGATATCAACCTACTATATATCAACCTACTATATATATATATATCAATAATTATATATATACATATAATATATATATATATATACATAATATATATATATATATATACATAATATATATATATATATATATCAACCACCAAACCGACATGAGAATCATGTCTCAAGGCTCGGTGGCTCAAAAGGGACATTGTGGCAACACCAGAGAGCCACTGGGATGGCATGAAGACAGGGTTGACTTAAGCACCTGACATGGCAGTGTGTCAAAACCTTGTACCCCTGGTGAACATCAAAATAGCTGGTAAATGGATGTTCATCCCACTAAAAATGGTATTAATAGGTATTGATCCATACCCACATGAGGTTTTCAATGCCAGACTAGAAACAAGGCGCTGCCAGTACTCTACTGAGCAACTCTTGAAATCCTTGAAACTTCACTGCTGGTGCAACAATGTTGAACATTTTGAGTATGTCTGAACTTCGGGTGGAACTCCAAAATCACAGGTAGCCCCTGTTCCGATCAAGTAGCGAGAGACTTTGTTTTCTGCTGCCAAAGGAAAAGCATTCAGTCAATTTTTTGAAGCATTTATATAAACACATCGTTCCGGCATCTTACGGCCATGGCTGCAATACTGAAAGAACCGCTTCACAGATGCGATTAAAAACAAGCTGGTGGATGAAGGGCCAGAGCTGCTGAGAAGGATGCCCATGGAGCAGCGTTGGCAGACACTCAATCTGGGACTGCAGCCCTCTTCCATCGCTGCATACACATCACATCACATCACCACATTTTTCTCCATGATCATCCGGATTTCATGAGATCTCTGCCTGGTGGAGGCCACATCTTGCCCAGTCGTCTTCGCCAGCTTCAGCCTCTCAGTGGACACTTTGGGAAGAAGAAGCCTGGTGAGGTTGGCTGCCTTGTCATGCCTTTCCAATCTGCCCAATCTGCTATGTATACTTCCTGAACTTCAGACTGCATCCAGAAATATGCCACTTCAATCCACTTCAGCCGGTCATCCTCATGGCGGCTGCATCCCAGTTTCGTGTGTCCATCGCACAATGTGTCCTGTAACAAGCAACACACCTCGTTCAGGCCGAGAAAGGCGTTCTGATCCATTCGTCCCCACCATACAGTCGACAGCCTAATGATTCCACATGATTAGATCGAAGCAGTGAATCCGGTCAAGACTGTCAAGACCACAGGCTTTCAACTGCGGATTTCCTGAGATCAGGGTGCACAAGTTTGCGCACAAGTGCCATGGACATTGGCTGCTGATGCAAGCCCAAGCCAAAGATGCTCCAACATGCGGAAATCAACCCAAATCATCCCAAATCCAATTCTGTTTGCCTCCCACATGAGCCCACATGTCCTAAATGAATCTAAATGAACCATCAAAACCCCGGCAAGTCAGCAAAAAAACATAAACACACCTCCAAAAACGGAAAAAATCACATATAATTTACATAATATCATCAAAAATCTTCATAAATCAGGTAAGTTTCAAGTCCTCCTTGTCGTACTTGTTGCCATCCAATCCCTTCCAAGGCTCCAACCAATGCATCCGCGGATCCACCGGTCCACCAGACTCCGAGGGGCCAGTGGGTGGAGCCGGTGGCCCGTTGGGCCCCAGGCGTTTCACCAACTCGGGTGGCATGCGGGTGCCTGGCGACCCTGGCGACCCCCCATGGCCAATGGCCAATGGATGGCCAATGGGTGTCTGTTTTGTCGTGTTTTTTCTGGAAATCACCAGAATCACTCGAATTCATATTCAGCGTTTCGGCGGTTTTTTGATGGCATTGACGGAAAAAACGCCTATATAGATTGTTCTTTTCTTGAGAAACAGGTTTGTAGCTCTCCAAACATTATAAAATCTTGTAGACATTAATGAAGATGTGGGAGCATCTTTTGTAGAAATGGACTGTCAGGTTCCCGGATCCCAACAGATTCTTTTCAAGTCATTTTGTGACTCCTGGCGCCTGAGTCTTTGATGACTTTGGCGATCAAGGACATGGCATCTTGGTCATTGTCCTCGCCAGGATGGATTCCAACGACAGCAGGGAATCCAGCACTTCTTTATACTAAGGATGCCTGCAACATCATCCTTCACGTTCAAGGAGCAGGAAAGGAAACAAATTCAAGACTAAGGATCACAAATAAGGTTGATCTGGCTAGCAAAGGATTGAACTGCACTGTAGACGAATCAATGCATGTCAAGCAACGTTCGAAGGCTCTGTCCGCACTGACAGTCTCTCAAATTAACATATTAGGATTTAGGACCCCCAAACTAAGTGGCTCAACGCTAAGAACGACCAAATACCATCAAATACCAATAGCATGTGTGGGTGGGGCAATCCACCCGTCTAATTAGTGATGTCTTGACATTTATTTATTCTGTATACACAGAAATCACTCAATGTCCCATCCCCCATCCCAAAATGTGGGTCCAAAAATAGGAACAACATGGAACAACTTATGTTCAATGGATTGGTTTAAGGGAAAATTTGCAGGAAACCATGGATTTCCCCATGGAAAATCATGGGGCTTTCCGGTTCCAATTTTCCCTAACAAACCAATCCATTGATATATTCAAGACATTGCCAGGGCTCGGTCAGGATGGACACGGCCACACCTTTGTTGTTGCGCCCTGTGCGCCCAATGCGATGCACATAATCTTCCGCCGAGCGCGGCATGTCGTAGTTCACCACCAGATTCACGTCCTGCGCCGGGCAACTAACGGATATGGATTGATCATGGGTCCAAAAGTAAGTTTGATATGGATAATGACAAGCATAATTATCATAATTATATAGAACATTGTGAATGTATCAATGTATCATGTGAATATCCTACATGTTCGCCCAAAAAAAGGGGTTTCACACTTTACATCATTTTACCATATTTTATCCCATATTAGAAGAATCAACACATCGTGAAAATGGGATCATGACCAGCCATGGCCAGCCATGGCCAGCCTTCACATCGATGCCACGACCCGCCACATCGGTTGCAAGCAGCACCTGAGCTTCGGATCTTCGGAGAGGGGAGACGACCACCAAACGACCGATATTAGTCTCAACAGTCTCAACTTCTCAACATATATTTACTGTTATAATTAGTTATAATTATTTATAATTAGTTATAATTAGTTATCATTATTTAATAATGCTCTAAATCCAGAAGTCTCACGAAGTCTTGCCCCCCCAAAAAAGTCTGGAATTGAACAGAACCATTTTTGACCAACGGACAAAAACAAGTATCAGTGAGCGGACTTGGGGGACACGCTCTGACCCTCTAGCAACAGAGTGGATTCATGTGGGGTTGTATAAAAACCCGGCCTCTTTTTAAATGGCCCAAAATCACGTACATGTACAAGCTTGTTATCATTTTTTTTACTCTTATCGTTTTCTGGGCCGGCAATGCATTGGCAGTGTTAAGGTGCAAGCCAAAATGACATGCCCACCATGTTAAACCACATTAAACCCATAAGAGGTTTCATGTCCACAGGAAGGTTTTTATGGTTGCAGCCCCATCACATCAACCACTGATGATAGGCTGCTGCACCTGGATGGCTCCAGAGCGGAAGTGTTGCAGAGCCGCCTCGCGGTCCCGTTGACTGCGATCTCCATGGATGGCATCGACAGACAGCGGCAGGCGGCCTGTGGACAAATGCCACGGCATTATTTCTGGCCAGTAAAAAAACATGTTGAAGCCATGGAAAAATGGAAAATTATGGAAAATTGCATGTTATCCATGACAAATTGATTAGAGCACATCATAAAAGAATACATCGTACATCATCACATATCATCACATATCATTACATATCATCATGATATATTATCATGATATATCATCATGATATATCATCATATATCATCATATATCATCAACTTATTATATACCATCATATATCATATCATCAACTATTCACATTATACATATGATTACATATGCAAGTATGTACACAATTACAGAGCCATCCCACAGCCTCTGAGGCTTCGTTCCAGCTGTTGGCAGCCCCTCTTCGTGGCCACGAAGACGATGGCTCGAACCGAACGTCGCCCGCGCCTTGGCGCCATGGAAAATGGTCAGTTTATAGACAATTTAACCAATTAAACATGACTAACCATGGTGATTGTCCAAAGCTCTATATATATATATCATAGATTACCATAGGGTATAATTAATAGTATAATGTTAATTGATGACTAGGAAATAGCTGCGGGACAGCCCAACTTACTGATTTTTGCAACTGGGAAATTTTAGGCTACTCTATGTTCAAACAACCCCATATCTGTCGAGAGGACCAGCCTTAGAAAACATGGCAAAACCACCCATTGGAGTGACGCAAGAATTCTTCATGGACAGCTTCAAATCTGAAAGCAATTTACAGCCTGTAGATGCCTGTAGTACCTTTAGCAAGTCGATGGTCTGCGCATCCCATCGTTGTGACAAGTAGCAACAGGGCCGCCAAAGCTGAAGGTTTCTCTCCATCGTCTCGCAAAATCATGACATCCTCACAAAGGCCATACGCGCGAGGGTGCCTCTCTGATGGGATTCATGAGCAGTGTCAAAAACCGATTGAGGTAGCGTAATAATATGTTGTGAATGGGATTCCCGGTTCATGGGTTATCAAATCCCCATTAATATTTATCATCATATCATATATAATATATACGTACAGTATTATGTAGTATGTTCCCCTATATATAATATCGTATGAACCAACTGTTTTTTTTTGTATGATAGGAGGGTTATGACAGGGTTATGCCACGCATTCCACCGTAGCTATGTCGGTAGTGCCGTGCACTCGCCTACGGTGGTATTGACAGAAGACAAGGCCTCTGTGATCAGAAGCGTGATGATATTGTCTAATAATAAGGATTGTGATGATGATGATGATGATGATGATGATGATGATGGAGGATGATGACGATGACCATGACCATGACGACTGATTCCATTGCTGTGATCCTTGCCTGTCCTGCGCCACGTTTGGATTGGCGCTCAAAGATCCCATGGCCCCAACGCGAACCTGTGGCACTTTCCAAGTGGACCGAGGTCAGAAACGCCAAGACAACTTCCGCAAAAAAAGTGCCCAACATCCAAGAACCAGCCCCCCAAACTGCATCTTCTACTCATTTTCAAGTTTTCCGATGTTTTCCGGATATGTCCAATCTTCATCAATCTTCAGCTTTCCCAAACCTCCAAGTTCTTTCCTCAGCTCCACCTCCCCACCGCTGGGATCACCTCCACCGGGTCCTTCAGCACCTCCGAGGAGAAGCTCTGCACCGCTACCGGCCACGTGGCCGAGAAGAGCAACGTCTGCCGTGACGGCGATGCGGCCTCGGTGGAGTCATGGTTTGGGTGATCCATGGTGATCCCAAATGCACTATGTAGAAAAACAAGAATTGTTTTTAGGTTTTTTTAGAAGATGTCAAATCTTTGGATTGGAAGATGATGTCAACACATAATTCACATCCGCTGTTTGGAAGATGTTGAAGATTTATATTACCAGCATCTTGAGTGGGTAGATGATGGTAGATGATTCTTTTAGGAACGAAGAGCTGTCACCAGGGGACGAAACATGAAAAATCCCCAGCGCCGGTGCCTGCGCCAAGATCAGTCGCACCTGGGCTTCGAAGCCTTCGCCCAGCAGCCGATCCGCTTCATCCAACACCAGCGCCCGCAGCTGGGTCAAGGTCAGCACTGGAGGGTCTTCCTGGTAACCATAGTGCTACCCCTAAATGGATGATTTATAGCGGACAACTTATGAAAATGGATTTGGAGGTACCCCCCTTTAAAAGGAAACCTCCAAACACACACATGACCAAAATTCAGACCTTCAAATTCCGCCCGGTCAAGGATCTCTTTGAGCTGATGGCATTCAATGTCTCCCAAAAATCCCAGACCTATCAAAGCCTCACTTTCCCCAAGCGCCAGGTGGTCCTCCAAGAATTCCAGCAACCTCCCAGGCGTGGCGGCCAGGATGGTCGGCTTCTTGCGCAGCCCTGCAAGCTGCTGCTGTTTGGAGCCACCTCCATAGATCACTTCCAGCTCCAATGCGTCCCCCGCGCGGCAAAAACGTTCAGACTGGGCCGGGGGGACCAGGCTGTCAGGACAGGTCCCAAAACAATGTGGGCGAGCAGCTGGAAATGTGGGTTCATAGTGCAAAATGCCACTTTCTTGGACAAGTATGGAAAAGTAGGCTACCTTCAAAATAGCTAGATCTCAGGAAATAGGCGGAGCTCTGCAATCAACTTCAATCAAATTTTCACAAATTCATTCTTGAATCTTCCCCTCTAAACACTCGCACTCGCACTGATTCCATGCACCAAGCCACGGATTTTTGTATCTGTGCCACCAGCCTTGGTGATGCTGTGTCTGAACTGCTGACATGACAAAGAGATGTGCAACCATGTGCAACCTAATGTCTGTTATGGCACACCAAGCAGTTCTTGAGGGAAAGGACATTTCACACCTATTTACTCAAGATGAGCGCTTAGCTTTCTTTCAACCCTCCCAACATCTCCCAACCGTATGGACTGCCGAAAACTATCGAAAACTTCTGGCCTGATCACGAATCATTAAAAAGAACAATCGCCCCATGTGACTTTGCACAAACTCTTGGATGATTCCCAGCTCGAAGAAATTGAAGCCATCACACATTTCAGCATGCATCGTTGATCGTTGGATGAGTAAATGCAAGACTGAATTCTTGTAAAATTTGTAAACCGTAAAATTCTCTGCTTGATGTCTAAATCTCATGACCAAATGAAACCAAGAAACTCTCGTGTAGGCCCCAAGATCAGCATCCATGGCCACTGCCTACCCCTGGTTGGCCCAGTGGCACGCAATAGCCGACCTGAAAAAGACTGACGGGGCCCTGTCAACCATCAGTTTGGAAAGATCGGGTAACATCTGAAGCAAATCCATCTACTGTCACCCAAAAAAAAAACTGCTTCGCACGCTGCGGGATGGACACCTGCGACTGGGTCTATGTGCAACCTACGGAATCCCTGGACCATTTAGTCCGTGCCCTGCATGACACCATTCAACCATCCCATGCTGTGATTGATGCCAGACAGCAAGTACTCACCCATTCTGTTTCTGAGTCCACCATGCAACGGATCCGTTTTGCACCAGCAACAAACCCAAGTCACATTTTTCCATATTTTTCGTAATTAAGTGAGTAGGCACTAGCTATGAACATGACCGATATATGGGTGTGGGTCAAAGTTAAATTGATCAATGAAACGGTCAACAAATAACTCTTTCATTTCAACACTTGAATGGGGCCCAGGTGCCAAACCGTTGGTGTCAATTGACCAGGAATCCATCAGGAATTCTGTTGATTTTATCCCATTAATAATCCAATTAATCCTACCTGTATATATATATATACGTATATATGTATATAATCATAAATTAGATATATAAATATGATGTTATATATATGTATACAGTATACACATAATCATACTTAATTACATAATTATGCATATTAAATAATCCCCTTTGGATCAATTCCTCCCCACGTGGGCCACTGTCTGCCACGCTGCTAAAGCAGGGCAGTAGATATGCCAAGGTCTTCCCACTGCCAGTGGCAGAGATTCCTGTCCCATGGCGCATGGGGTGAACAGGTGAACGCGTCCAAAATGTTCAAACACACTCAATTTTTTGTTGATCATCGGATTGATCATCAGATCATGAATAATTGTTCATCAATCCATTCTGTTTTTTCGGCCAGGTGGTCGCCCAAGAATGTTTTTGTTTGTTTAATTTCGGGAATGTCCTCCTGGATGAACCCCTGAGCATCGGCACCTATAAGGTCCCTTCCAGCAGCAATGATCGGCATCGAGAAGGCTTGGATGGGCGTTGGCTTCTCAAAGCCTGCGTGCCAGTGGCCAAGGGATGATCCTGGATGGGCTTCCAGGCCGAAGAATGCTTGGAATGAGAGATGAGTGACTTGGCTGCTTAGGATTCCAGGATGTTGTTAGGAGGTTCTTTTGTTTCTTGAAACCTTCAAAGAAACCTTCAGAGAGCCCCATGTCCATCTGGCACTGATCATGATTCTGATCCAGCGGCCCATCTCCAGCAAGGGCTCCATGAGCTTACTGTGCAATACCTCAGCATAATCATCCCTGGAGCCTTAGCTCAAATAAAGGGATATCAACCCATGTATCATATATCAGATACATTCATATACTATCATCTAGCAATTTATGTAATATATATAATATGAATAAGTAAACACTAATTATAGACCGAGGAAGATGTTCTGATACTGAATCATGCCGACCCATAGTAATACTTAGTAAATATGACGGCACCAGTATCCTTTTGCATTGGATCCATGTAGGATCCATGTAGGATGTATCAAAACTGCTTGGGATTTCCAGACGTCGATTACACTAAGGGTCAATGAAACTTGCAATGTCTGACCCTCTGGTAATGTAATTTAACAATAGCATACAATAGCTGTTTAAAGGCACCATTTTAAACAGTCAATCATCTAGAAACGGGCCAGCGGCCATTTTCCATAGCTATATCATGCTATATCAACACTTTCCCATAAATTACCGGGAAAATGTGTCGTTTGTTGACAAGTTGCCATCGAAGCATCCTTGAAAGTTTCCAAGGCAGAAGGAATTGGCGCACGGCTGTCCTGTCGAGGCGGCTGCCATCGAACCATCCCCAAAATCCCGTGCTTTATCATCACTTTCCCATCAAAATGGCCATAACATATCATTAAATGCCATAAATTGGGTCAATGATTCAATGATCATCATCAGCATTTTAAGACAGACCCATATGTTTGAGAAATCATGAGCAACCAGCTTATGCCCTACACCCGAATTGCTATTTTGGCAAAATACATTGATTAAAAGGATCCAAGTTGAAGCCGAAAAAGGTCGAACAAGAATAAGTCACATGTTGAGACTGATTGATGGTTGAGAATCAGAAGTAAAGGGTGGACAGCAATGGGATGCAATGGGTATAGCATGGTATAGCGGTCAAGTAACTTGGGTACTCCGAAGGTTGAACGATTTCACAAAGCACATCAAAGCACCAAGAATGGCCAACATCCATCCACTGGTAATCCGATCCTGACGCAACTTCACTGCTGGTGCTTGAGGAATTGGTTCAGGCGCCCTGGTGGTGTGGAACCAGAATTGATGCCCTCGAGGGTTGTGACATGTAGGTAGGGATGACATGTCAACCAGGACACCAGGACAATGGCAGTGGCATGGCTTTCCTTTTCCCTCTGCAGGTGGCACGATCTTTTTCAGCCTGCCTAATTTTCTTTGTACTGAGTTTTCACACACTACATTTGATCACATATATCATCCGCTTGTCTCCATATATTGACGAACGAAAAACAAACATCACATTTTTCAAGTAACGCAATTCAGAATACGCCCTCCGTATCCGTCCAAATGCATCCATCTCATGGTTCTCATGCTGAGGGCCCTGGCGGCGGATCTTTGGGCTCCGGGTCCGTGGGAATTTCGGTCTCAGCGGCTGAAGGAGCCTCAGTGGGACTGAGAGACCTGGGTTCTCCATGGTTAATTATGGATGTTATATTGTCTTATCTGTTCATTCAATTTTTATGGTGATTCTGGAACAGTTGAACAGTCCAATTTATTTTGGGCGGTCCAATAATTTCATCATCCGTAATTACCCACCACACCAATAAGTGGCAACATCTCTAGATATTTACAAATTGATAAGGGAATACTTAGACAAAACGTACAAATGCGGGTGGGTTCACAATCATTCACCCAATCACACAAAATTCTTGGACTCGGAATTTACTGGCTGGTTTGAAACCTTTTGAACTCCCATATAGCTGCAGCGCATGCAATCCTGTGACATCCTTTTGTGACATTTCGTTGCACATTTTGCAGCGCCAGTATGCGCCAGTGTACACACATGTTGTTTCAACAACATGATTCAATATGTTTCAATATGTATGAAAGAAAACGGTAGTTTCATCAAGTGTCATCCAGCAACTACTGTGGCCATCATGTTTCGTCTGGGATTGTCAGCGATTCTCATGACATGACCCAAGCTGCTGAAGCTGCCGATTCTTTTGCAATGCAACGCATGGAGTAATTATCTGAATGTCCAAGATTGTCCAAGTGTAATGTACAAATCTGGATCTATAAGGATCGTTTCGTTGTGCTCAACTGCACCGCTTCAGGTGCAGGGCCCCAATGCCATCCAATGCCCAGGGTGTTTTGGGCGATGTGCGATGTCCTGGGCAGAGAGTATGGCAGAGCCCTTCTATTGCAGAAGCTGGTGCAGTGACATGTAGATGCAAATGACATCAACATCTGCATGTGCAATCATGTGATGTGTAATCATGTTGAATCCATGAATAGATAGTCATAGAATGTCATAGATAGCAACATATAGCAAAATACTGTGACATGGTTGTTCTTCTCGATAAGTCTATAAGTCCTACCTTCCACACAGCCTCACATTGCATGGACGCCTTGTGCTGGGGCCCCTCACTCCCATTAAGCGACGGTGGTGGTGACGGTGGTGGTGGCAGTGATGGTCACCGTGGCCGTGGCGGTGCTGGTCACCGTGGCCGTGGTGTTGTCGTCATTCGAGGTCACGAGGTCGTCGCTGTCGCTGCTGCATCCCTGCAGAAAAAGGGAAGCCGTCCATGCCAAGCAAATCACCGCAAAGGCTCGGAAGAACTGCATGGCGACTAAAGTGACTAAAGTCTCCAAATGATATGTTTGGGGCTGGGGCCTCCGGTCTTTGTCTCTCTTGAGCCACGAAAGAAACACGGATCCAGCAGATGTTGGACCCAACCTGTCGGCACGGAAAATTGCTCTGAAGGAATGATCTTGCGATGTTTTGGATGTCCATCGGACGCAACCAATTGAATCATATTTGAATTCGGATCATTGGCAGCTTCCCCCATTATTCGGCCCTTTTCACTGATCTCACTGATCTCCCATCTTTTAAAAACCCACGGACTCAATCACCAAGGCACGCTCGAGCCCTCGGTGCATGGCTTTCGCTCCTCCTGCCCTGCCACATCACGCAAGTACCTTGAGTCCCAAAGTTGGGGGTGCAACATTTAAGGCCACGATTTATTCAAATTGTGGACATGTCCACTTGGATATCTGAAATGCCCCATCTTTGATCATCAGTTTCCCTACCAAATGGTAATTGGGGGATCCCAAATTCTGAAGATACTTGGATGACAACGGATGACATACGTGGCGCTGGAACTGGCATTGGCTCTGAAGAGGACAATCAACTCTTGTTTCTGCCCTGCGGGGAAGCTCAGACACCACTGAAAAAGATCCGTCAGAAGACACCACTGAAAAGAATCGCTGGCACATCAAGTGAACACAAAAATCACAAAAAACCTGGTTCAAACTGAATACAGTAGGTGGCACGTGATGGACCGTGCTGCCATGATGGCAAAGAACCAAAAAGAACCAATATCAAAATCACATACAATCACTCAAACTGAAAGTATATCTGAAAGTATATCTGAAAGTATATCTGAAAGTATATCTGAAACCATCTGAAAGTTGGCCCAAAATCTGAAATCTGACAGTCTTCATTCCATCCGCCCCAAACCCACCATGGCCCCACCATCCAATGCAACGCATGCAACGCACCTCTCAGTCTCCAGTAGCTCCACCGGTTGATACCCAGCATGTTGCAGGTCGGCAAAGGACACATGGCCTCCGTGGATTGTTTGGGATGGCCCAGCTGGAGATGGGCCCCATCTGGGCCCCTTAAATAAGTGCAAAGATTCCCCGAAATCATGGAAGCCTCTAGACTCTGGCACAGCTAATACATGCTAATACTGTCTATTTCTCTATTTCTGGTGATTAAGTTGTACTGATGAAGCCTGCTTCTTCCACAAACGGAACAATGGCACTGAATGAATGGCAAGTGTCCTACAGCCTATCACGCCACGCACTTCGAAAATGGAATGCTGACTGGTTCGGGAAACCAGTCAGCCAAGAATAGTCAAGGAGTTTTGGCTGGTTTCTAGTGAAACTTTACACACACACAACATGCTCTATACATGCTCTATACATGCTCTTAATGTTGCCAGGTGTCCTTGAGTTTCATTCGGCTCCAAGCGAGCTTTCTTGGCATTTCCTGCAACGTGGGAGACCAGGGAATCGGTTGCCATCAGCTTCGTAAATTAAACCATGGATCAAAACGGGATTACCGTTTCTCTGCGAATTAACGAATTGTAAATTGAGGAGCAACATGGGTCAACATTTTTCCTTTCGCAGTCTATACCGTTTGAACATAAGCGGAGAAATCCATGCCTTAAAACACTTGATCGGTCAGGACAACAATATGATACATCCAGTCAAATCGAACTGTAATGCCTGAACTCACCTTCGGATACCTTCATAATATTCTCCTATATAATGATCATTATGTTGCAGCTCAATGACACAATGATGATGTTGGTACGTACCCTCTGGTAATTTAATATAGCTATGGACAATCACCATTTTTAGTGGGTAAATCATCTGTAAATGGCAATTTTCCATAGCTAGGTTAATTTCCTGGGCACCTTGTCCATCCTCACCTTCGCTATCAGAGCTGTCCGCTCCTGGACTGGAAACGGTCAATAACTTATCTATAATGTGCATCCCGTTTAGTATGTGGACATGTGGTTAATAACCACGGCTGTAGGCCAGTTGCAGGTGCGATAAACCCATAAATACGCTGCAAGTATATCATATGGGCCATATGGGCTATCAACCACTTACCAGTTGAGATGAAGGTGCATGTACCAGGGATATGTCATCCTCACCAATGCATGCGATTTTTTTTTACATATTATTATTATTATTATATATATAGTATACGTACAACATCGTAAAACTAACTAGATCACATTTTGAGATTGTCACCCATGACTTACCAATTAGATCCAATTAGATCAATTAGGAACCAATTATATAACTCACTGTTCCTGACATCAAATGTCCATATATGTCCATCAAAAGCAAAACATACAGACACTTCCCGTCGTTTCATCCCCATCTGTTCATCATCACATCCCAGCCCGCCTATCAGACTCAAGGGATCCTGCAGCATCCATTTGAATTTCCCCACGGATGCGCACCCTTGGTGTTGTGGACCTTGAGACTGGCCCCTGGCTGCACCTTTTGTTTCGGATTGATTGCTGCTGAACAGGCTCTGGAACTTGTTCCTCTGAGGCATGCAGCACCACTTGTTGTCCCATCCTTTGTTCGGTACCAAGACTCGAGTTGCGAGAATTGTGTCTCTTGTGTTTTCTGTTGAACCATTAAACTTCATTAAACAGTGCCCAAATCAACTTCTGTTTGATGTTTCTACTAGCCGCTTCAATGGGAATTCTCATGACGGACCATGGGATTCCTAGCAACCAGCCAGAAACAAACCCTCGCTGCCCTGGCTTTGGAAACTGCTCGTGCCAAACTCGTCTGACTCAAAAGCCCCAAATTCCCCTAAGACCGCCTTGAAGCTTACGCGCAACCAAAGCCGGATCAAACATTGGGTTCCTGGTTCCGTGCAGCCTACACTCTACACAGCAACATCCAACTTCCACCCTGCACAGGGGAGGCGGCGCACCGCAGAGATTCCAGGAAGATTTCCCAGCAGGCCACAGCCCCAGTTCCTTGCTTGATCCAGGCTTGGATATATTAGTGATATATTTGGAACATTTTAGAACATTGTATCTGGTTGGTGGTATACCTACCCCTCTGAAAAATATGAAAGTCACTTGGGCTGATTATTCCCAATATATGGAACCATATGGAAAAATAAAAGCCATGTTCCAAACCACCAACCAGGTATTATCCAACGCTGCACCCGACATTGGCGAAAAAAAATACACAGCCGCAGTATGATCCTTATAGATCCTGGATTAGCCAAGATGCGGATCTTCCTGACTGTCAAGGTCCTGGTCGATAAAAAACGCCAGTTTTCCGTGTGCAGAGGTGTAGAGTACAATAAATTAGCATAAATGATCAGCTACCAGTAAAAAAATGATAGATTGAACATATGAGACATATCATGGAGTAATTTTCCCTGCTGGATTTCCTTCTCAAGATATTCAGCACTTCAGCCAAGAAGCCACAACCCCCATTGATATCCCTACAAACTCTCCCGTCCTGCTGCTGTGCAGGTGGTACTGGCACTGGTGCGGGAGCAGGCACTGGTGCGGGAGCAGGTGCTGGTGCGGGAGCAGGCGCCGGTGCCGGAGCAGGAGTCACTTCCGGCAGGACTGGTGCAGGTGCTGGTGCTGGTGCTGGCGTCGGAGCTACCTGCGTTTGCTTCGGAGAGTTGGAAAGCTTGGTGCAACTGATGGTCCTTTCTTGTCTTTATGCTACTTCTAATTATGGATCAAGCAGAATACATGATCTCAACCATCTACAATTTTAGGACTGCTTTGAAAATGAAAGAGCTGGGTGGACTAAGGACCATGTCCGAGCGAACCAATGTTTCTTGGGGGGCCTTTTGAGCATGTCCAGCGCCTGGTTGACTTGCAGAGGTTTCTCTACAATCCTTACTTGGATGGCGTTCATTCTGGATTTGAATGAGCATCTTGGACAACCACAAAAAATATCAAACAATGACATCATCCAATCTGTCCGTGGCCACCTTCCAATCCCCAGAAAATAAGCGTACCTGGGGTGTGACGGATGACCTTAGATGTCAGGGAGGTTAAAAAACATGCGTATCAATACGAGCCGCCAAAACACACCCTGGTGGAATGTGCTGGGTCTGTTCATGATCTGTTCATGAACTCAGGACCATTTTAGGATATTTAGGGGTATCATGGGGTATCTAAACTAATTGAGGGAGGGGACTACTCACAACCTAAATATTATCCTCTCCTGGCGACATAGTTCGCATCTTGCGGCTGAACCCTCTCCGCAAAGCCCTGGTTTCAACATCATGTCCAGTATTGAATCTCTATGCTTCAACAGCGGAATGGAGCTCCGCAAATCTCTAACGAACAAGATCTATGCAACTCAATCAACTAATGAGCAAAAGGCAACTTCTTCAACCATGACCAAACATCTATAAACCTTGGACCAGGTCGTGATCGCCACTGGGGCACCTGACACTCCCCCTCTCTGCCAGGTGTTGTAGGGCGTATTTGACAAGCATTCCTCTGAGGTGCGGAGGTCAGGCGAAAAAATGGGCATGGCCAGAAAGGGAAGGCGATAGAGTTGCCAGAATAAAGTGCATTATATATAGTATAGTATATAATATTTACGTATATATAATATTAATGAATATTATATATCGTGGAGGGGAGAAAGATGAAGAAAGCATAGCATCATTGGAATCCCCATCAAGAATTGTTTAGAGTTGGAGTTCACAAAAGAAGACTTGCAAAAACAAGTAAAAGTAATTAGATGGTAAATGAACTGGATGAACGCATGTGTCAGATGTCCATGTAGGTTTGTTTCATGAGAGTTTCAAAAGTGTCCTTCCAGTGTTTTCCATCAACACCACTTCCCCTAAAAAAGTTACTTGCAAAAACAAGTAAAAGTAATTAGATGGTAAATGAACTGGATGAACGCATGTGTCAGATGTCCATGTAGGTTTGTTTCATGAGAGTTTCAAAAGTGTCCTTCCAGTGTTTTCCATCAACACCACTTCCCCTAAAAAAGTTACTTGCAAAAACAAGTAAAAGTAATTAGACGGTAAATGAACTGGATGAACGCATGTGTCAGATGTCCATGTAGGTTTGTTTCATGAGAGTTTCAAAAGTGTCCTTCCAGTGTTTTCCATCAACACCACTTCCCCTAAAAAAGTTACTTGCAAAAACAAGTAAACGTAATTAGACGGTAAATGAACTGGATGAACGCATGTGTCAGATGTCCATGTAGGTTTGTTTCATGAGAGTTTCAAAAGTGTCCTTCCAGTGTTTTCCATCAACACCACTTCCCCTAAAAAAGTTACTTGCAAAAACAAGTAAAAGTAATTAGACGGTAAATGAACTGGATGAACGCATGTGTCAGATGTCCATGTAGGTTTGTTTCATGAGAGTTTCAAACGTGTCCTTCCAGTGTTTTCCATCAACACCACTTCCCCTAAAAAAGTTACTTGCAAAAACAAGTAAAAGTAATTAGACGGTAAATGAACTGGATGAACGCATGTGTCAGATGTCCATGTAGGTTTGTTTCATGAGAGTTTCAAAAGTGTCCTTCCAGTGTTTTCCATCAACACCACTTCCCCTAAAAAAGCAAGCGATCGCTGCGATCGCGCACCGATTCGGTCAAGGAAGCCAAACGCCAGCAAGGTCCTGCGCTTTGCGCATGGTCTGAAAAAGGGGGCACCCAATGATCTCCAGGGTGATCACCATTTTCCAAATGACAATTTTCTGGATAAATCCGCCCACACCGCTTTGGCGGTGAAGGCGTGCTTATTGGGGGGCAACAGCAACACTAAATGCTCAATGACATTTGTTAATATAGCAGTCGCTATATCAGCTTTAGCTGGGGTGGGGGGGCCCAAAAACGGTTTCGCACCGAGACCAGAATACGGTGGTGTTTTCGACATTTTCCGAGGATTTTTGGGTGTCTGAGCGCAAGAGGGTATTGAAATGGAATTTTGGGTCATTTTGGTAGCTTTCCGGCAATGGAAAAACGGCCAAAAATGAAAAAAACATTGTACATAGCAAGATTTTGCAGGGTTTTTGGATTGCCAGAGCATTGAAAACACTGCAAAAACAAGTGTTTTGGACTGACGTTATAGCAAAAAACGTGTAAATTACCGTATGCTTGACTGGAAACATTACAAAAACACTGTCAAAAGCAATGTTTTGGAAGGATTTACTGCCTTTATGGCAAAAAACGTGTACATTACCGTCTGTTTGACTGGAAACATTGGAAAAACACTGTCAAAAACAATGTTTTGGAAGGATTTCTTATATATATGTTGGAGTTGGCTACCGGCATTGGAACATGAAAAAATTGAAGAAAACACTGTAAATAGCGGTATTTTCAACGGTTGGGGAGATAAGGGAATTGGAAGCATTGTCGAACATGATGTTTTCGACCGGTTTTATGGCGACAAAAGTGTAAAGTACCGTGCTTTGAAGGAAACCATTGCAAAAACATGGAAACACATTCAAAGAACACGGGATTTGGGGACTATCTAGGCGTCGTTGTCTAGCTATTTGAAATTCCGCAGCTTGGAGAGCCTCCAAGGGAGGGAAAAGTGAAAATTCCATAGCTTGGGAAGCCCCCACGGGTGGGAAAAGTGAAAATTCCCTAGCTTGGGGAGCCCCCACGGGGGGGAAAGTGAAAATTCCCTAGCTTGGGGAGCCCCCACGGGGGGGAAAAGTGAAAATTCCCTAGCTTGGGGAGCCCCCACGGGGGGGAAAAGTGAAAATTCCCTAGCTTGGGGAGCCCCCACGGGGGGGAAAAGTGAAAATTCCCTAGCTTGGGGAGCCCCCACGGGGTGGAAAAGTGAAAATTCCCTAGCTTGGGGAGCCCCCACGGGGGGAAAAGTGAAAATTCCCTAGCTTGGGGAGCCCCCACGGGGGGGGGAAGTGAAACTTCTTAGCTTGGGGAGCCCCCACGGGGGAAAATCACCCTTAGCCCCTCTCACGGACCGAAATAAACCTGCGGTGTGGGCGGCCACCCCACGCGAAGCGGGGTGAATAAACCTTGACAACTCATTTCTCTTCAAACGTTGCCTTTCGACTGTTTAACCAATATTTTACATTATCTGACCACAAAACAGAGTTCAAAGCCCCAAACACGAATCAAACACGGGGAAATGCACGGCCCCGACAATGGGAAAACATGGCCCCATGTTTCTTGATGACAAGCTGCGACGTTGCCAACACGGCCATCCCATCCACCATCCTTGTCCCATGACATGTTGCTGTGCAATCACAATGCCAGCACAAGTGGAGACCTTCTCACACCTTGCAGCGGAATTGTAGCGACCAGGCACTGATCGACTTTCTACAAGACCTAGGACTGGATTTGATATGACTCACTCATGTAGTTGTGACGCGTCAAGAAAATTGCCATGATAGATATCGATTAAAATTGATTAAATCAAATGGCAACTGAACTGATGCACCAAACCAAGTTGGAGGTGTGAGCATCCCATAGCATCCCTTTAAAACCATTTTAAAACCATGTTCTAATTGATTTCTGGGTTTTCTTGAACCGGCATGGCTTTGTCCAAAAAAAAATAACGTATCCCCCAAATCTGAGTTATCAGCGAATTCCAGATCAACCACTTGGGACTTTGAGATCTTTGAGGATCTTTGAGGTATCCTCCAGCCATCCAATAATGTAGAATACCTGTTATTTTCCGCATTATTTGATGGTCCCGTAAATTAGGAGTTTCACATACCTTTTCGCACAAACAATCCATCATTCATGAACTAAGTCCCATCTTTGATTGATAAATCCAATCTCTTAGCAAGTAAACCATGCTAAAACCCAATTTCGATGGGGACACAAATCACACCCAAATCATCCCAAATCATTGACCCTTCTGCTCTGTCAAGGTGATACTGACATCTGAGGACCCTTCTCAGCTTTGCATGCCTCCACTGCAAAACTTCCTGGTGCTTCGGTTGCCACAAAGTTTGTCAACAAAAAGCCTCTGGAACAAGATGGAACAAGGATTTCACATAGAAAATAGACAGAAATCTTATAGAGATTGATGATGGCCGACTCGAACTGTTTTATGATCGTCGATATCAAAACCGCCGTCCAAACAAACACAATATAATATATATATAATATATATATATAATATATATAATATATATATATAATATATATATATAATATATATATAATATTATATATATATATTATATATTTATATATATATAATATATGTCAATATATGCTGTGTTGGTTGAAACATGTTGATAGACCTTCAAGGAGAATTGCAGCGTTTGCTTAGATGTTCTTTGAATTTCTTAGATGCATCGGCTGCGGTGGCAATCGTCGGCTGGCATGTCTGTTCTGGCATGATCTGACAATCATCCATTGCTCCAAGCAGTGTCAAAGTCATCCCTTGCTCAAACCAGTGTCAAAGCATCAGCCAAAGTCGAACTGCTGTAAACGTTCAACCCCAAATCAAGAAACCATTTGGATCCACAAGTCATCATTAGTTTGCTTCGGTTGAGCCACCCATGTTCGGAGAGAATAAGCTGGACCAGGCCCGCCTTGGAGCTCATAGCCCTCCGCAAGCCCCACAGCACCGTGGCCAGGGTAGCAGTTTCTCCCAACGTATTCCGACCAATCTGGCAGCGACATGGTATTGAGTCCATCCAGAATCCACTGATACCCAAGAGAAACAGCATGGTGAGAGCCCAACCGTGGTAGCGACAGCGTCCGGCCAGTGATACCCAAGAAACGCTTGTTGAGTTCAAACTTATTCGATTTCTGTTGGATACAGGACTTGCCGACATCAGTTCAAGCTTAACCATCTCAGCCATCTTAACGCCCTAACGATCCTTACCCCAACAAATGACAATATTACATAACTTGACAACGAGTTTTCCAACCCTCACATTCACCAGGCCTGAAGCCAAGGAAATGCTGGAGCGCAAGCCTGGGGCAGCGAGTTGAGCGCGCGTCATCTAAAGGGATGCACATCCACATTGATTCCAACGGCAGTGTATTGATTCATATTGATGCGTAATTTCTCAGTCACAGACTTAAAGTACATAATTATATATCCGCCGACCCCGGCAGACGCAAGGGGGAGTGCGTAAGGGAAAAAGAGTTTATGACACAGCTGCCAGGAAAGAAATAATAATAATTCGCTGACCCCGGCCGATGCAAGGGGGAGCATACAGCTGCCAGGAAAGAATAATAATAATTCGCTGACCCCGGCCGATGCAAGGGGGAGCGCGTAAGGGAAGAAGAGGTACTGCACTGCTACTTTTACTACCAGGCAGCAGCAGGCAGCAGCAGGCAGCAGGTAGCAGCCAGCAGCAGCCAGCAGCAGCCCGCACCAGCCAGCAGCAGCCAGCAGCAGGCAGCAGTAGGTGTCTGGCAGGCAGCATCCGGCAGCAGCAACCAGCAGCAGCCGGCGTTAGGCAGCCAGCAGCAGCCAGCAGCAGCCGCCAGCAACAGCCAGCAGCAGGCAGGAGCAGGCAGCAGCCAGCAGCAGGCAGGAGCAGCAGGCAGCAGCAGGCAGCAGGCAACAGGATTCTATTTTAATTTTATTTTATGGCAGCAACAGCAAGAGCAACAGCAACAGCAACAGCAACAACAACAAGAACAAGAATAGGTGGTGTTTTGCTGTTTCGGATGTGTTTCGAAAAGGGTGTCTGGCTGTTTGTTTCTTGCTTTGGAGGCTGTTTGATTGCAGCAGCACCACAGCAGCAGCAGCAGCAAGGAGCAGCAGGCAGCAGCAAGGAGCAGCAGGCAGGCAGCAGCAGGCAGCAGCAGGTAGCAGCAGGCAGCAGCAGGCAGCAGCAGGCAGCAGCAGACACCAGCAGAGGCAGCAGCAGGCAGCAGCAGACACCAGCAGAGGCAGCAGCAGGCAGCAGCAAGCAGCAGCAGGCAGCGGCAGGCAGCGGCAGGCAGCGGCAAAGTTGCAATTTTAAGTAGGGTTTCAGAAGTGACGTTAGGCCCTTTTTTGGGGTTCCTTTGCTACGTTTTGGGCACGAAATTAGGTGGTGTTTTGCTGTTTCGGATGTGTTTCGAAAAGGGTGTCTGGCTGTTTGTTTCTTGCTTTGGAGGCTGTTTGATTGCAGCAGCACCACAGCAGCACCACAGCAGCACCACAGTAGCAGCAGCAGCAGCCACCAGCAGCAGCACCAGCAGCAGGCAGCAGCAGGGAGCAGCAGGCAAGCAGCTGCAGGCAGCCGCAGGCAGCCGCAGGCAGCTGCAGGCAGCAGCAGGCAGCAGCAGGCAGCAGCAGACACCAGCAGAGGCAGCAGCAGGCAGCGGCACAGCAGACACCACCAGAGGCAGCAGCAGGCAGCAGCAGGCAGCAGCAAGCAGCAGCAGGCAGCGGCAGGCAGCGGCAAAGTTGCAATTTTATAGTAGGGGTTCAGAAGTGACGTTAGGCCCTTTTTTGGGGTTCCTTTGCTACGTTTTGGGCACGAAATTAGGTGGTGTTTTGCTGTTTCAGATGTGTTTCGAAAAGGGTGCCTGGCTGTTTGTTTCTTGCTTTGGAGGCTGTTTGATTGCAGCAGCACCACAGCAGCAGCAGCAGCCACCAGCAGCAGCACCAGCAGCAGGCAGCAGCAAGGAGCAGCAGGCAGGCAGCAGCAGGTAGCAGCAGGCAGCAGCAGGCAGCAGCAGACACCAGCAGAAGCAGCAGCAGGCAGCAGCAGGCAGCAGCAGACACCAGCAGAGGCAGCAGCAGGCAGCAGCAGGCAGCGGCAGAGGCAGCAGCAGGCAGCAGCAGGCAGCAGCAGGCAGCAGCAGGCAGCGGCAGGCAGCGGCAAAGTTGCAATTTTAGAGTAGGGTTTCAGAAGTGACGTTAGGCCCTTTTTTGGGGTTCCTTTGCTACGTTTTGGGCACGAAATTAGGTGGTGTTTTGCTGTTTCGGATGTGTTTCGAAAAGGGTGTCTGGCTGTTTGTTTCTTGCTTTGGAGGCTGTTTGATTGCAGCAGCACCACAGCAGCAGCAGCAGCCACCAGCAGCAGGCAGCAGCAAGGAGCAGCGGGCAGGCAGCAGCAGGCAGGAGCAGGTAGCAGCAGGCAGCAGCAGGCAGCAGCAGGCAGCAGCAGACACCAGCAGAGGCAGCAGCAGGCAGCGGCAGGCAGCGGCAGGCAGCGGCAGGCAGCGGCAGGCAGCGGCAAAGTTGCAATTTTAAGTAGGGTTTCAGACGTGACGTTAGGCCCTTTTTTGGGGTTCCTTTGCTACGTTTTGGGCACGAAATTAGGTAGTGTTTTGCTGTTTCGGATGTGTTTCGAAAAGGGTGTCTGGCTGTTTGTTTCTTGCTTTGGAGGCTGTTTGATTGCAGCAGCACCACAGCAGCAGCAGCAGCAGCAGCAGCCACCAGCAGCAGCACCAGCAGCAGGCAGCAGCAGGGAGCAGCAGGCAGGCAGCCGCAGGCAGCCGCAGGCAGCCGCAGGCAGCTGCAGGCAGCAGCAGGCAGCAGCAGGCAGCAGCAGACACCAGCAGAGGCAGCAGCAGGCAGCAGCAGACACCAGCAGACACCAGCAGAGGCAGCAGCAGGCAGCAGCAAGCAGCAGCAGGCAGCGGCAAGCAGCAGCAGGCAGCGGCAGGCAGCGGCAAAGTTGCAATTTTATAGTAGGGTTTCAGAAGTGACGTTAGGCCCTTTTTTGGGATTCCTTTGCTACGTTTTGGGCACGAAATTAGGTGGTGTTTTGCTGTTTCGGATGTGTTTCGAAAAGGGTGCCTGGCTGTTTGTTTCTTGCTTTGGAGTCTGTTTGATTGCAGCAGCACCACAGCAGCAGCAGCAGCTACCAGCAGCAGCACCAGCAGCAGGCAGCAGCAGGGAGCAGCAGGCAGGCAGCAGCAGGCAGCAGCAGGTAGCAGCAGGCAGCAGCAGGCAGCAGCAGACACCAGCAGAGGCAGCTAAAATCATCCTTTTCTCTAGGTTTCAGAAGTTACATTAGGGAGTTTTTGGGTGCAATTTTGATGCTTTTCCGTCCTTCACTGCCATGGGGATTTGCCGCTGGGAGTGGTTCGATTTTAGGCGATTGCCTTTTGAAGATGCCTTTTTGAACAGAAGGACTAGCAGGAGCAGGAGCAGCAGCAGGAGGAAACAGGAGGAAACAGGAGAAAAAAGTAGCTAAAATAGCTCATTTTCTCTAGGTTTCAGAAGTTACATTAAAGAGTTTTTGGGCGCAATTTTGATGCTTTTCCGTCCTTCCCTGCCATGGGGATTTGCCGCTGGGAGTGGTTCGGTTTTAGGCGACTGCCTTTTGAAGATGCCCTTTTGAATAGAAGGAATAGCAGGTAGCAGGAGCAGGAGCAGCAGCAGGAGGAAACAGGAGGAAACAGGAGGAAAAAGTAGCTAAAATAGCTCATTTTCTCTAGGTTTCAGAAGTTACATTAGGGAGTTTTTGGGCGCAATTTTGATGCTTTTCCGTCCTTCACTGCCATGGGGATTTGCCGCTGGGAGTGGTTCAATTTTAGGCGCCTGCCTTTTGAAGATGCCTTTTTGAACAGAAGTAATAGCAGGTAGCAGGAGCAGGAGCAGCAGCAGGAGGAAACAGGAGGAAACAGGAGGAAAAAGAAGCTAAAATAGCTAATTTTCTCTAGGTTTCAGAAGTTACATTAGGGAGTTTTTGGGCGCAATTTTGATGCTTTTCCGTCCTTCACTGCCATGGGGATTTGCCGCTGGGAGTGGTTCGATTTTAGGCGACTGCCTTTTGAAGATGCCCTTTTGAATAGAAGGAATAGCAGGTAGCAGGAGCAGGAGCAGCAGCAGGAGGAAACAGGAGGAAACAGGAGGAAAAAGGAGCTAAAATAGCTCATTTTCTCTAGGTTTCAGAAGTTACATTAGGGAGTTTTTGGGCGCAATTTTGATGCTTTTCCGTCCTTCACTGCCATGGGGATTTGCCGCTGGGAGTGGTTCGATTTTAGGCGCCTGCCTTTTGAAGATGCCATTTTGAACAGAAGTAATAGCAGGTAGCAGGAGCAGGAGCAGCAGCAGGAGGAAACAGGCGGAAACAGGAGGAAAAAGAAGCTAAAATAGCTAATTTTTTCTAGGTTTCAGAAGTTACATTAGGGAGTTTTTGGGCGCAATTTTGATGCTTTTCCGTCCTTTACTGCCATGGGGATTTGCCGCTGGGAGTGGTTCGATTTTAGGCGATTGCCTTTTGAAGATGCCTTTTTGAACAGAAGGACTAGCAGGAGCAGGAGCAGCAGCAAGAGGAAGCAGGAGGAAACAGGAGGAAGGAAAAAGTAGCTAAAATAGCTCATCATTTTCTCTAGGTTTCAGAAGTTACATTAGGGAGTTTTTGGGCGCAATTTTGATGCTTTTCCGTCCTTCACTGCCATGGGGATTTGCCGCTGGGAGTGGTTCGATTTTAGGCGACTGCCTTTTGAAGATGCCTTTTTGAAAGAGACTAGCAGGAGCAGGAGCAGCAGCAGGAGGAAACAGGAGGAAACAGGAGGAAAAAGTAGCTAAAATAGCTAATTTTCTCTAGGTTTCAGAAGTTACATTAGGGAGTTTTTGGGCGCAATTTTGATGTTTTTCCGTCCTTCACTGCCATGGGGATTTGCCGCTGGGAGTGGTTCGGTTTTAGGCGACTGCCTTTTGAAGATGCCCTTTTGACTAGAAGGAATAGCAGGTAGCAGGAGCAGTAGCAGGAGGAAACAGGAGGAAAAAGAAGCTAAAATAGCTAATTTTTTCTAGGTTTCAGAAGTTACAGTAGGGAGTTTTTGGGCTGGGAGTGGTTCGATTTTAGGCGATTGCCTTTTGAAGATGCCTTTTTGAACAGAAGGACTAGCAGGAGCAAGAGCAGCAGCAGGAGGAAACAGGAGGAAACAGGAGGAAAAAGTAGCTAAAATAGCTCATTTTCTCTAGGTTTCAGAAGTTACATTAGGGAGTTTTTGGGCGCAATTTTGATGCTTTTCCGTCCTTCACTGCCATGGGGATTTGCCGCTGGGAGTGGTTCGATTTTAGGCGACTGCCTTTTGAAGA